TTCATCTTCCACAAACAGCCTGTCAGCTGAAAAGGAACATAGCAGTTTTCTTATAATGTTCAATTCTTCCAATCCAGGTGCAAAGAGTTTTAATATTTATAATATTAATAAAAAAACATATACTTTATGCTGACATCCCTAGCACCGGTTAAAATGATGGTGACTCGCTTGTATTACTTTTCCCATTTCTATTAGATTGGAGAAACTTATTTCAGAATATGATGAGCAAACTTGACTCTTGTCAGGTAATATTATCAATACACCAGGTAGGCACCTTGCACAAACATAACTTGAGAAAGACAGAGACGAGTTCAACAAAAAATACCACAACAAGGTAGTGCACATTAGCTCTGTTGTGAGGAAGATACTGATTTTACAACTAAAGTGGACACTTTCTAGCACATTTTACAAACATACATAACCTGAAGATACCATATTAATTGTGTTACGACAAAGCATGTGCAGATAGTTGTTGGAACCTTGGTTTGTGTCTCTTACAAACTGATACAAACAGTCTGTATTCATAATAATCAATAAAAATAGCACATTATAATACTAGAGTATAAGATTATTTAAAAAAATTGAACTGTATAACTTTGTTTGTTTGTTGTTTAATGCTGTACTAAGCAATATTCGACAACTTTGACAGCTGCCTGTAAATAATCAAATCTGGACCTGACAATCCAGTAATTGACATCATGAGCATCAATCCATGCAAATGGGATACGATGACATGCATCAACATGGTCTCTGAGCCTGACCCCTCAATCATGTAAGTTGCCTCTTATGACAAGGATAGTCGCCTCTTAAAGCAAGCATGGTTTGCTGAAGACCTATTCTGACCCTGATCTTCACTGGTAAATGTGTATAACTAAACATGCTGAAGTAGTGCCAATGATCATGTGGCACTTGCCACCAAGACAATGACAAGAACTACAGTAACAATATTCCCTCTATTTGGGTACAACACAAATTGTCTAAAATACTGAGAAATAGGCACATTTGCTCTTAGTCCTTATTAAAGTGTGCTGGTACTGTACAGACAAATCTTATTTTGGAATGTATCAGAAATAACAGGAAAATGACAAGGACAAATGCAGGCCAGTAGACAAAGTGAAAAGAAAAATATACAATATATAAAACACTGCCAAACAGATCACTTTTTAAAAACAACACTATATCATTTTTTGTATGTACAATGAGATTATAATTGGGGATTCAATTATACTTACTAAAACAGGATGTTGCTAGCAGTGTTCACTATGGTTCATGATATGGTATTCTCAGTCCTGTCCATTGCTCATAGGCAGATGTAGTGTCTGCTACTGTCAACAAAAACATTCCAACATTACACCCTACACTAAATTGTACGAGTTAAATGGAGATATATTCATCAATAAAATGGTATTTTGCCTTCAGACATTTAGTTATCAGAGGATTACAGTTAGTTAGATGCTGTAGGCCTAGTCATAATCTTAAAATATGACAACACAATTATTCAGGTATAAATGGATAAATTTGAGTTTGTTGACAGGTTGCAAAGAAACAATACAGATGTAGACTGACCAGTGTAATTAACTAACAGTTGGGGAATGTTGATAATGACTTGTTATAAAGTCTATCAATCAGCCTCTCTACTATCAACAAACATTTAGGCCTACAAAACAAACACTTTCACCAACACTTTGAGAATACCAGGGTCACGTGATGGTGTTTTGGAGCATTTTCAGTTGTTTCGGACTTCAGAGCTTGAATAAATTTTCTGCCTCCGATGTATACTACTGAAATGTAAACACAATACGACATATAATAGTATATATATGTAAGTACTAATTACTAGTAATTACTACCAGTTGGACTAAAAGAAACGAGCGATTCTGAAAAGGAACGTGACCCAATCGTCTTTGGATGCAAGTGATTCGCGTCAAAACATGGGCGCTTGATACCAGGCAACAACTCCAATACAATATACGATAGGTAGTACTGTAGGACATACTGTTTCGGTAAAGCACTCTTTCTTTAAGAATAAAAGGCATTTATGATGCGTGACCTTGCTTGTGCACGTCGACGTTGTTTCTAGTGACGCAAAGAATGCAAGGCTACCTGTAGAAAACACGCACGACATTACGTTCCCATTTGTGGCAATGGTAGGAATATTGAACAGTATTTATTGTTATGAAAACACCCACGTTTGTTGTGCTCTATTTAGAGTAAAGACACAATTAACTAGCCTAAACTTGGCCTAGGTTGAGTGGAACAAATGACGTGACCTTACACAAAATGGCGGCGGATGATGATGATGCATGACGTGGTCATGTGACCAGCTGGTGATGTAATTATCAACGGTTACCGTATAATTTTCTTCATGATAATGTAGATTCTATTTGTAATTCCAGGTGACTGGGAACATACTGGAATGGTGGTTGAAAGGTTTGCATGGCGCATTTCACCATTACGAAGCTACTTCTACATCTAGAAAGCTAGCTGGTTACAGGCTGAAGTTGCTCTGCGGTAATCTATTTAATTTTTCTGTTGAGACAGAGCCTGGCTTGCATACCGTCGACGTAGACTCGTTGACCAATGAAAATCATTTTAGACATGCTCCTTTGCCGTTAGCTAGTAGTAGCAGTAAATGTTAGTCTCCAGAGACGTAGAGACCGTCTTTGTACCTACTAGTAGCAGGTCATAGTTGCTAACAACTCTGTGCTAGTAGTAGGTAATATTTCCTGGATCGGGTGTTTGAGGAGGGTATCGGACCAAACAATCAGGAACCGTCTGCGAGAGGTTGGAATCAGACCCCAGACCGTAATGTGCCCCTTCATTGAGACGTTTGCATCGACGATAACGTGTGCGATGGAGCAACACGGTACAGGCATGGACGCTGAGAAACTGGCGGCGAGTCTTTTCCAGTGATGAAGCACGATTTCTTCTCCAACGCCGAGATGGAAGACAACGTGTGGAAAATGAACGTTTTGGACCGAACTGTGTCCGACATGTCGACAGATTCGGTGGCGGAAGTGTGATGATGTGGGGAGCCATATCTTAACTCAATACGGTTATGATGAAGGGGTCCAGAAATGTCGATACAAGAATAAAGTGTTTTTATCCATAATGTTACGTATTCATCATCTGTCATGTTTAGTATCGAATATACGCGCCGGAAGTGGAGAGTTGCCAGGGGAGACAACTCTGTCCGATTTTCCTTAGGGCTTTCTGATAGACCGACCCTTTTATCATAATTTGCCGGGGCAGTTTCCCCTGTGGAAACACAGCTAAAGCTACAGAAACACGCACTACAATCATTAATTGACGAGAGCCAGGCGTACTGCAGAACGTAGGGGTGGTGGCACATTGGGTAAAGCGTTCGCTCGAGCCGCCGAAGACCTTGGTTCGATTCCCACATTGCATTGGTACATTGTGAAGCCTATTTCTGGTGTCCCCCGCCGCTATATTGTGGAATATTGTTAAGAGCGAAATAAACGCCAACTGTCTCACTTTTGTAGAGAACGTTATATAGAGAATAATGTCGACGAGGCTGTACTGATAGGCTTTGGTATCGCCATATTGTGTGTCGGCCGTGCATGTCACATATGGATCAATTATTGTGTCTTCATTACAACAACCATATAATCTACAGTACCTCAACAGTATTTAGGAGTGAATCTCGTATGCTTCGTACCAGAATCATTAGTGGCTGACCTTTTGATATTCTGGAGAGAAGGGATTTGGGGGCGGTCGGGTAGCCTAGTGGTTAAAGCGTTCGCTCGTCACGCCGAAGACCGGGTTCGATTCCCGACATAGGTACAATGTGTGAAGCCAATTTCTGGTGTCCCCCGCCCTGATGTTGCTGGAATATTGCATAAAGCGACGTAAAACCATACGTTCTCACTCACTCTAAGTCGAGCAATATTTCAGCAGCTCATCCCTTTGGTTTCTACATTTTCACAAGGTGTGTTTGTACCTCAATCGGGCATACTCCGTCCACCAAGATTTCAATATACGTCATGCGACCCTTGTTTAAAAGGCCTCAGTAAAATGTTTTCCAAAATGCTTTTTGCTGGACATATGGAGGACATTTCCATCAATTTGACGCATCAGTGACAAAAAAGATCTCCGATGCCATTTCCTATTATACTATATGTTCCCATGGTTTTGTTTCAGGTGAACACTTGACTTGCTTTTGCATGTATTTGGGACGGGTGCCACCGGTTTCATCACTATTTCAATAACACAATATACCTAAATGTGACATTATAACTTATGATTCAATCAACACGAATTTTACTCATGATAAAATAGGAATCGTACAATGGACTGCTTTAAGAGTGAGTGAGTGAGTGAGTGAGTGAGTGAGTGAGTGAGTGAGTTGGGTTTAATGTCGCTTTTAACAATATTTCAGTTGTATCACGGCGTGTCAGCTTAATGTGGGAGGAAAGCCCGAAGTGATGCAGGTCTCAGACGTTTACCACTTCGGTGAAACCCACGAGCACGGGTATGGTGCTGACAAACCTAGAAACATAATTAGAACCCACAATCATAGGTTTCTGGTATGCCCAAGGGACACAACTCTGCACAGCGAATCGCGGCGCCTTAGACGACTGGGCCACCCGTGCCCCCGACTGCTTTTAGAAGAGATTTCTTATGAATATGGAAAGACGTTTATTGCCTTCATTTATTTGAAAAGAATGCTATGTTCTCGAAAATGCTAGAAAATATAATATAATATATAATATAACCTTAGGTTTTACAAACAAACACGTTCACTGACATGTTAGATGTCCCGAAAAATATTGTGTTATGTGTTAAAATATTTAAGGATTGACTGTGTATTTTTTTCCGTTCATTGAGGTATGAATCGAAAAACCGATGTGCAAACTGTATGAATCCGCGCAATGGATTCTTACTTAAGTTTGCACATCGAAAATCCGGCTACTTAATTTAAACACAATAACTCTAAAATCAAAGAAGGACACGAAAACAATCATAAAGACAATTTACACATTAAATACGTTTTATTAGAAAAAATAATACACTTCAACATTAATTTTGTTGAAACAATATCACAGGGTTTGGTTAAAAGATACATACAATGTATAGTCAATAACACGTCGATGGAGCTTGGTACGCTACCTTGATACTAGACTATGGAAACAGCAAATAACGAGGCACAATAGCTGATTAATATTAATCTTAATCTTAATATAATATATATCTGTTGGCATGGTATAACATACTTCATCTGTAGGCATGGTATAACATACTTCATCTGTTGGCATGGTATAACATATTTCGTCTGTTGGCATGGTATAACAGACTTCGTCTGTTGGTAAGGTAGTATTGTATACACTCAGCAGTTATAAAATGTACTTCATTTACAACACACTTAAACTGCTATAAAGTCATAACACACTTCCAACCCCACTCCTACTGCAGGCACTGTATATACATGTTAAGGGCTTGTCGATCGCGATATTACAAATGAATAATGGACATTAACACGCATGTTATGATACGATGGGCATATTCACGGTGAAGCTATTGATAGTGCAGGTATTTTGAGAATGTTGAAATACGTTGATTTTGCCACAACGGGCAATGTGGTTTGAGCTTGAGTGAGGTCTCGTTCTGTCAATCACGTCTGCTGTACCGCCACATTCAGCAGGCTGGTTCCTGTCGCTCTCCCAAACGTCGGTGAAGCCTTTGACGTCGAACCAGCCGCTGGGGGTGTCGCTGCATCGCATACAGGTGTCCCACGCCCAGTAGTCGGTGCCAATACTGGAAGTATAGATTGCCATGAACATATCAATATAATACCGTTAATCCGGATTAACGATGCCTGTTTATGGAGTAAAGTCCGCTTGTGTACATGTAAGCTCACCTGACAGTAACTGTTTGTGAAAAGGGGTTTTCGGGTTAACGGGGTTCCGGATAAACGAGGTTACGCCGTTAGTACAAATCTCAATAGCGCGGAAACTTCGCCTTTAGCGTGATTACCGTTATGTTTGTCTCTATAAGAATTGCCTGCAATATTGTTTTTGCGGTTAGGAAGGTATAAACGTAACTTCCCGTGGGCATACTGTGTACTTACACAGATGTTTACGTTTATAAAAAAAAATAAAAAAATACGTCAACAATAATAATTTCACATACTGCTTATCTATTAAGTAACAAAAATCAAAACCCTGAATTCAATCAGCGACATTGTTCAGCGCAATTATGTTACACAGACCCCGCCCATTCTATAATCAACCAATCAAGAAACAGTAGCTCGTTAGTGGGCGTGGCCTAATTGTATTTCGCTTGTACAGCCAATCAAATGCCACGGAATCACTTGTAATTTACATATTCACAGTCATTAACTGTTGATGTCACATATGGATCAATTATTGTGTCTTAAAACATTACAACAACCATATAATCTACAGTACCTCAACAGTATTTAGTAGTGAATCTCGTATGCTTCGTACCAGAATCATTAGTGGCTGACCTATTCTGGAGAGAAGGGATTTGGGGGCGGTTGGGTAGCCTAGTGTTAAAAGCGTTCGCTCGTCACGCCGAAGACCCGGGTTCGATTCCCGACATGGGTACAATGTGTGAAGCCCATTTCTGGTGTCCCCCGCCGTGATATTGCTGGACTATTGCTAAAAGCGGCGTAAAACTATACTCACTCACTCACTCATTCACTCCCTGTGACGAGATAACCATGACTGTCACATTGAGTGTAATTGTGTCTTGCTGGTTCGTTCGTTCGTGAGTTGGGTTTAACGCCCCTTTGAACAGACGTTCCAGAATATCAGGCGTGTCAGATGTGGGAGGAAAGCTCGACTTGAATCAGGTCTAAGACGTTTACCACTTTGGTGGAACCCACGAGCACGAGTTGACTAAACTAGGGGCATAATCGGGGCGAACCGGGATTCGAACATACGATTATAGGTTCCTGGCACGCCTAAGGTACGCAACTCTGCAACCCTTCGACGACTGGACAACCAGTGCTCACAGACGGTACAGAGCCTAGCAGAAAATGTTTGCGTGTTTGCTTAATGTTTGCATTAACCCAGCTATATGACGGCTAAACTCTGTTTAGCGAATTGCGGACCCTTCGACGACTGGACAACCTGTGCTCACAGACGGTACAGAGCCTAGCAGAAAATGTTTGCGTGTTTGCTTAATGTTTGCATTAACCCAGCTATATGACGGCGATCTGTAAATCATCGCGTCTGGACCAGACACTCCAGTGATCAATATCAGTGATCAATATAGGTTCCTGGCACGACTAAGGTACGCAACTCTGTTTAGCGAATTGCGGACCCTTCGACGACTGGACAACCTGTGCTCACAGACGGTACAGAGCCTAGCAGAAAATGTTTGCGTGTTTACGATCTGTAAATCATCGCGTCTGGACCAGACACTCCAGTGATCAATATTGTGGGCAACTGTCCAAATCGTCGGGGTACGATGACGCTATCAACCAAGTCGCCAAGCCTGACCACCCGATCCACTTGGTTGCCTCTTACGACAAGCATAGGTTCCTGGGGATATATCGTAACATAGAATTCCCAGCGGAGCGCAGAATATGTAATTCAGTAAAATGTTAAATGAGTATGGAATTAATGAATGTCTCCTTTGTTTGAAAATTGAACATTTCTGCAGTAAATCGACATGTTCGACGTCTATGAACAAATGTGAACGTGTCCGGCGTTTTGCTTGCTTTTCTATCCGTTATACCCACGGGATGTGTCCGACTTTAATGCATGCATCGAGGGTAAATACATGTGTCCGACGTTAATGCATGTATCGATGGTAAATACATGTGTCTGACGTTAATGCATGTATCGAGGGTAAATACATGTGTCTGACGTTAATGCATGTATCGATGGTAAATACATGTGTCTGACGTTAATGCATGTATCGATGGTAAATACATGTGTCTGACGTTAATGCATGTATCGATGGTAAATACACGTGTCTGACGTTAATGCATGTATCGAGGGTAAATACATGTGTCTGCTGTTAATGCATGTATCAAGGGTAAATACATGTGTCTGACGTTAATGCATGCATCGAGGGTAAATGCACGTGTCTGCTGTTAATGCATGTGTCGAGGGTAAATACATGTGTCCGACGTTAATGCATGCATCGAGGGTAAATACATGTGTCTGACGTTAATGCATGCATCGAGGGTAAATACATGTGTCTGACGTTAATGCATGTATCGAGGGTAAATACATGTGTCCGACGTTAATGCATGCCTCGAGGGTAAATACATGTGTCCGACGTTAATGCATGTATCGAGGGTTAATACATGTGTCTTACGTTAATGCATGTATCGAGGGTAAATACATGTGTCTGACGTTAATGCATGCATCGAGGGTAAATGCACGTGTCTGCTGTTAATACATGTATCGAGAGTAAATACATGTGTCTGACGTTAATGCATGCATCGAGGGTAAATGCACGTGTCTGCTGTTAATGCATGTATCGAGGGTAAATACATGTATCTGACGTTAATGCATGTATCGAGAGTAAATACATGTGTCTGACGTTAATGCATGTATCGAGAGTAAATACATGTGTCTGACGTTAATGCATGTATCGAGAGTAAATACATGTGTCTGACGTTAATGCATGTATCGAGGGTACATACATGTGTCTGACGTTAATGCATGCCTCGAGGGTAAATGCACGTGTCTGCTGTTAATGCATGCATCGAGGGTAAATGCACGTGTCTGCTGTTAATGCATGTATCGAGGGTAAATACATGTGTCTGACGTTAAAGCATGTATCGAGGGTAAATGCACGTCTCTGCTGTTAATGCATGTATCGAGGGTAAATACATGTGTCCGACGTTAATGCATGTATCGAGGGTAAATACATGTGTCTGCTGTTAATGCATGTATCGAGGGTAAATACATGTGTCTGACGTTGATGCATGTATCGAGGGTAAATACATGTGTCTGACGTTAATGCATGTATCGATGGTAAATACATGTGTCTGACGTTAATGCATGTATCGATGGTAAATACATGTGTCTGACGTTAATGCCTGCATCGAGGGTAAATGCACGTGTCTCCTGTTAATGCATGTATCGAGGGTAAATACATGTGTCTGACGTCAATGCATGTATCGAGGGTAAATACATGTGTCTGACGTTAATGCATGTATCGAGGGTAAATACATGTGTCTTACGTTAATGCATGTATCGAGGGTAAATGCACGTGTCTGACGTTAATGCCTGTATCGAGGGTAAATACATGTGTCTGAGGTTAATGCATGTATCGAGGGTAAATGCACGTGTCTGACGTTAATGCATGTATCGAGGGTTAATAGATGTTTCTGAGGTTAATGCATGTATCGAGGGTAAATGCATGTGTCTGACGTTAATGCATGCATCGAGGGTAAATACATGTGTCTGACGTTAATGCATGTATCGAGGGTAAATACATGTGTCTGACGTTAATGCATGTATCGAGGGTAAATACTTGTGTCTGACGTTAATGCATGCATCGAGGGTAAATGCACGTGTCTGCTGTTAATGCAATGTATCGAGGGTAAATACATGTGTCTAACGTTAATTCATGTATCGAGAGTAAATACATGTGTCTGACGTTAATGCATGTATCGAGAGTAAATACATGTGTCTGACGTTAATGCATGCATCGAGGGTAAATGCACGTGTCTGCTGTTAATGCATGTCTCTTCTTGATGCATGTGTCAGATGTTACTCCATGTGTCCAAGTTGTAAGGTTGAACTTACGTGTTAAGGTAGTAATAGTTGGCTTCACCCACAACGTTCGTTGTCTTTACCGACGGGGAACCTTCGGAGAACTCTACGCCATTGTACGGCCGCTGTCCGTCCTCGGCACCGCTCCAGTCCAGGGCCGTGTCTCCGCCGGTCTGGTAATAGTACTTGTCGAAGGCCGAAGAAGAACCAAAGGGCTGGTCACTCGAATAGCTCAACTCAACTGTATTGCCACCAGCTGTTATAATGAGGTAGTGTATATGAGAAGGCGACCAAAACAAATACACTTTCCACCTATAAAGCGTGAGCGCAGGCGACTTCACAATCGATACTGGGTATATTGGTGAATGCCAAAGAAAGTATGGGAAAACTAACTCTCCAGGCTGGGGTGTTTTGGGCAAAAATACTTTTTTTCATAAAAATTTGTCCACAGGCTTTCACCCCCGCCTCCCTCCCTTGACTAAACTCCCACTAACATAGGGCTGTTTTCGTGTTTTGAGGCAATAACTTGTCTCACACATTTCCAGTCTCCTATCCACTTACCCCCACCCCTAGAAAAACAAAAACAACAAAAAACCACAAAAAACCCACCAACAACAAAACAAAACAAGAGAAAATTACAACAAAATTACAAAAAAAACTAAAGCAAAGCAAAACAAATCCCACACACCAGCCCCCCAAAAGCAAACAACAACAAAATACAAAAACAAGCAAGCAAACAAACACCTTTTGTATAACAAACCCTATCAACTTGACGATCTTTCAATTTCTTACAAGTATTACACGCTAATTATACGTCGCTCGCCTACTCTAGTACCCCGGTGCTCAATAGCTTCCGTTGTAAGTTGAGTTACAAACCTGGGTTCGTCCTCGTGTCGCTGAGACCGCCGCGGAAGAAGAGGTTGCTGCTGCCAGAGTACTGCATCATCACCACGGTCCTCTCAAAACCTGAAAAAAGGGCTCACCTGTTAAGTATCCAAAGGTGATCCCGAAACACTAACAAGCGCAGGTACAGTTCTACAACACACAGTATAGATGGTCTCAGCCCCCATCTGGGCTTCCGGCATGCCGTGTAACAGGGCGAGACCTGATATGGGCTTCCGGCATGCCGTGTAACAGGGCGAGACCTGATCTGGGCTTCCGGCATGCCGTGTAACAGTGCGAGACCTGATCTGGGCTTCCGGCATGCCGTGTAACAGGGCGAGACCTGATCTGGGCTTCCGGCATGCCAAGTAACAGGGCGAGACCTGATCTGACCTTGCCTTGTCCTCATATACTTGACCTGATCTGATCTTGCCTTGTCCTCATATACTTGACCTGATCTGATCTTGCCGTGTCCTCATATACTGGACCTGTTGAGACCTGACCAGGCCTGATCTTACCTGATCTTAAATTATCTGACCTGATCTTACCTTACATTAATTTATCTGACCTGATCTTACCTTATATTAATTCACCTGACCTGATCTTACCTTGTGTTAATCATCTGACCTGATCCTACCTTATATTAATTTATCTGACCTGATCTTACATTATGTTAATTCATCTGACCTGATCTTACCTTATATTAATTCATCTGACCTGATCTTACCTTATATTAATTCATCTGACCTGATCTTACCTTGTGTTAATTTATCTGACCTGATCTTACCTTGTGTTAATTCATCTGACCTGACCTTACCTTATGTTAATTCATCTGACCTGATCTTACCTTATATTAATTCATCTGACCTGATCTTACCTTATATTAATTTATTTGACCTGATCTTACCTTATGTTTATTCATCTGACCTGATCTTACCTTGTGTAAATTTATCTGACCTGATCTTACCTTGCGTTAATTTATCTGACCTGATCTTACCTTATATTAATTTATCTGACCTGATCTTACCTTATATTAATTCATCTGACCTGATCTTACCTTATATTAATTCACCTAACCTGATCTTACCTTATATTAATTTATCTGACCTGATCTTACCTTGTGTTAATTTATCTGACCTGATCTTACCTTATGTTAATTCATCTGACCTGATCTTACCTTGTGTTAATTTTTCTAACCTGATCTTACCTTATATTAATTCATCTGACCTGATCTTACCTTATATTAATTCATCTGACCTGATCTTACCTTATATTAATTCATCTGACCTGATCTTACCTTGTGTTAATTAATCTGACCTGATCTTACCTTATATAAATTTATCTGACCTGATCTTACCTTATGTTTATTCATCTGACCTGATCTTACCTTGTGTAAATTAATCAGACTCGACCTGATCTTACCTTGTGTTAATTTATCTGACCTGATCTTACCTTATATTAACTTATCTGACCTGATCTAACCTTATATTAATTTATCTGACCTGGTCTTACCTTGTGTTAATTTATCTGACCTGATCTTACCTTGTGTTAATTTATCTGACTGATCTTACCTTGTGTTAATTTATCTGACCCTATGAGACATGACCTGACCTGACTTGACCTTATCTTAATTTATTTGACCTGATCTCACCTTATCTTAATCTATTTGACCTGACCTAATCTTTAAAATAGAAAAAAGATGAGGTCAGGTCAGGTCCAATCTACAAGCCTAACTCGGTGATTTACACAAATCGAATCTGTGACGGAAACTCGACCCAACCCATGCGTGGCGGACACACGAACAACATGGCTATTCATCCATTCCCAATTCCCAAGTATGCCTGTGCCATAAAAAGTTGATAAATTGTGGATTGAGTGTTCAACGATTTTACCCAGTATCTTTGCTCCACCCCACACTGGGAGTCAAGTGGTTAAAGCGTTCGCTCGTCGGTTCGATTCCCCACATGGGTACATGAAGCCCATTTCTGATATCACCATCTTGAGTTTGCTGGCATATTGCTAAAAGCGGCGTCAAACCATACTCACTCACTGGCTCTCTCGCTTACCCATAAAGATCTGGCGATCGACACGTGCACAATGGTGGATAATGATGGATGATGGATGATGGATGATGGATGATGATGATGATGATGATGATGGTGGTGATGATGATGATGATAATAATAATAATAATGATGATAATAATAATGATGATAATAATAATGCTTTCTATTTGCTGCTCAGGACCAGTCACTTCCCACTCGAAAGCGCCAATGTGTGATTTTGCATCAAAATGTAAATATGAAATGTAGATTATGAAATGAATTAATTTAAGACTGTCCAACACATTGTCAGTGGCTTGTGGTCTGACACAGAGGTCCACCAATGGTACGACCCTGAATATGTAGAGGGCGTCATGGAAAATGATAAATACAAAATTCTTTGGAATAGGCCCATTTACAGCCTCAGACGTATCCAGGCCAACAAACCTGATCTTGTCCTTTTTGATAAATCCAATGAAATCATTTATATCTTTGAATTTTCTGTCCCCTTTGACACTACTGTGATTGACAAGATTCAGGAAAAACATGGCAAATATGCCTCGCTTTCGAAATGTCACGCTTGCATCCCAAGTACCAAGTTGTCCGACTCCCCATTGTTCTCGGTGCCTTAGGTTTGGTACTACCCAATTTGTTGACTAACATCGGGGTTTGCTACCAGGAATACAGCCCTTCTGACAATCTGGGTAATGCAGAAGGCTACAGTGTTGGGGAGTCTTCACATTGTCCGAAAAGTTCTGGTTGGGTTTGACTAGGCAGCGCTTCCTGGGAGAAGTCCCAATCGCTGTCTGGGTTGCGTGTAGAAGGGGCAAGGGCCCTGAGCTGCTGATGAGCCTAACCAGCCTGACTATGCCAGGATCACCCAAACCCTCTTTGCTGCATTTTTTATTTTAATCTGTAAATAATAATAATAATAATAATAATAATAATAATAATAATAATACCTGATGCACACACTACATTCGGTGTTGTTGTTTGTAGAACAATAACCGTTGCCCCTGTTGATGCTGTGTTTATTCCGGGTTTAGTCTGCCTTGATACAGTTGATGCACTATTGCCTGATCCAGGTATTGTAAACCCAGGTACAGCTGAACCTCCATTGGTCCGTCCGGGTGTCGTCTCTCCAGCTGCAGTTGGGCCGCCATTGCTTGAACCGGGTGTCGTCTCTCCAGCTGCAGTTGGGCCGCCATTGCTTGAACCGGGTGTCGTCTGTCCAGCTACAGTCGGGCCGCCACTGTTTGAACCGGGTGTCGTCTGTACAGCTAAAGTCGGGCCGCCACTGTTTGAACCGGGTGTCGTCTGTCCAGCTACAATTGTGACGCCATTGTTCGAACCGGATGTCGTCTTTCCAGCTACAGTTATGCCGCCGTTGTTCGAACCGGATGTCGTCTGCCCAGCTACAGTTATGCCGCCGTTGTTCGAACCGGATGTTGTCTGCCCAGCTACAGTTATGCTACCGTTGTTCGAACCGGATGTCGACTGCCCAGCTACAGTTATGCCACCGTTGTTCGAACCGGATGACGTCTGCCCAGCTACAGTTATTCTACCGTTGTTCGAACCGGATGTCGTCTGCCCAGCTACAGTTATGCCGCCGTTGTTCGAACCGGATGTCGTCTGCCCAGCTACAGTTGCGCCTCCGTTGTTCGAACCGGATGTCGTCTGCCCAGCTACAGTTGTGCCGCCGTTGTTCGAACCGGATGTCGTCTGCCCAGCTACAGTTGCGCCTCCGTTGTTCGAACCGGATGTCGTCTGCCCAGGTTCAGTTGCGCCTCCGTTATTTGAACCGGATGTCGTCTGCCCGGCTACAGTTGTGCCGCCATTGTTTGAACCGGATGTCGTCTGCCTTACTACAGTTGTGCTGCCATTTGATGTCGTTAATGAATTGCCTACTACATCGACGTCGCCTCCATTGTTTCCGACTGAAATAAATATATAATTACAATCACCAGAAAACAATAACATGATGATTAATATTTATAGTCTTGATAGAATAGAACATAAGTCGTTCGTTTAAATTGTTTCTTCTCAAAATATAGAGAATCAGAAAGCAACCCACAAGAACGATAGTAAATCTAAAATCAGCATTCCAAATGCCACGAATTTAACCATTTAACCACCCGAGATACTTTCCTCTGCTTAGATAACAGATGTTCGCCTTCGTATTCGTATCAGTTATGTTTTGACAACTTAAACAAAAACAAAAGAAAGGTTTTGAGGATTCTTGTATGGTTGCAATAGGTCACATTGAATCTTTGAATTCCGTCAACAAAATCTTAGGGCTAATTATAAGTAATAAAATAATATATCTAAAAAGAGCGATACCTGCCCACTGCCAGAACACAGAATGCATATCGGAAATGTTAATTCAGCGCCCAGAATGAATGTTGTTTAAACGCCGCAACGTCGGACCGTAGATGATTCAAGTCGTTACCAGATCAAACGATGGTTGATAATATGAACAACATCCGACGCCTTCGGGGTACGTGAGTACGCAGTTACCACCCGATCCACTTTAGTCTCCGCTTACGACCGCTTAGGTGAGTGAGCGAGTGAATGAGTGAAACTTGTGCCAGTTTTCGTTTCTTAATCTTGAATTTTAACACTTGGGCCCCGTTCTACAAAGCGATGATAGCATTACGACCATTCTTCAAAACAGACATATGCCCTCCGCAGCGCCAAACTTTGTGGAACAGATCCCTGGGTCTTTGATAAATCATGGGGTTTTCAGCGCTCAGATCGTTTTGTGGAACGGTGCTGTGACCTTAATCCTCCCATGTAAAGGATGCTGCCTGATAGCTACTCACCAGTCAGACCAACCGACACACCAATGACGGCACCACTAACAACGACACCTGCAACGACAGCGATGACGATCTTGACGAGGGGGGCACAAGCACCGACCTTCACTGCGGCTGTTCCTGCTTCTTCTGCTGCTGCTGAATAATACCGATAATAAATGCTATACAAATATTTGTGAATTGGATGCTAAAGCTAAATTTCACTGTTACAGAACAGTATCGAAACATCAGTAATTGATAAAATTGAAGAGGCAGTCTCGACTTTTCGTACCATGGTATAGGTAGCAAGTTAGATGGTTTAACGCCGCTTTGAACAGTATTTCAGTTGTACCACGGTCTGGTTCATGTGGTCGGAAAAGGCCTTTATCGTTTACAGCTTAAGCGAAAACTTGGATCATAATATGGGATAGATTATCAATAAATGATTCACACCCTTAACCAAAATTTCAAATATCTTGATTTCAGTTAAGAACTATATTGGGTCTTATCCTGGGTACAAAAAGCACCGAACACATAGTGTATGAATCAATTTCAGCTGAGAGTGAGTGAGTTGGGTTTAACGCCGCTTTTAACAGTATTCTAATTTTATCACGGCGTGTCAGCTTAATGTGGGAGGAAAGCCCGAAGTGATGCATGTCTCAGACGTTAAACACTTCGGTGAAACCCACGAGCATGTGTATGGTGCTGACAAACCTAGAAACATAATCGGGGCGAACCGGGATTCGAACCCACAACCATAGGTTTCTGGCGTGCCCAAGGGACGCAACTGTGCACAGCGAATCGAGGCGCCTTAGACGACTGGGCCACCCGTGCCCCCATTTCAGCTGAGAACGCTTGTTGACCATTGATATATAGTCTATACGTCTAAACGTAGTAATAAGCATATTCACACTTTTGTAAATACTGACTTTATCAGTTAGGAGAATTTTCGTCGGAGCTCAACAGGGTAAATGAGAAAACACAATATACCTACATTTGTAAATTGATAATAAATTGTAAATTAATTCATCATGAACTTTACTCAGATTGGTAACCTTTTACCCGTTTAAGTTGTTGAATCAAAGGAGTAATCACATATATAAATAACTGCAGGTTTAATTAAAGGTTTTTTGATTAAACGGATAATCACATATATTTTGTAACTGTAGTTTTTCAGTTAAAGATACTTAAACAATCACACATATTTACTTATATTTACTTTTTCCAGTTTTTAAGAAATATTCACATATATTTACTTATTCCAGTTTTTAAGTAAACGACCTTTTATGAAAGAAATAATCACATATATTTACTTATTCCAGTTTTTAAGTAAAAGATCTTTTATGAAAGAAATAATCACATATATTTACTTGTTCCAGTTTTTAAGTAAACGATCTTTTATGAAAGAAATAATCCATATATTCACTAATTCCACTTTTTCAGTAAACGATCTGTTATGAAAGAAATAATCACATATATGTACTAATTCCAGTTTTTAAGTAAACGATCTTAAAGTAAGTAAAAGGTGTGTAAACAGACAAATAATCACGTACATACGTACATATGTACGTGTTACAGGTTTTAAGTAAATAATATTTTATCAAACAAACAATCACTTATAATTAGCAAATCCATATTACTGACCTGCCTCCATCGTGAATCCAGAAGGCGAACTAGGTAACGAAGGGTCTGGAGAAGTCGGCTATATAAGACCGTCATGTTTTGTTGATATGGGTTTCCAAAGAGATGGGTTCCATTTTGGTAGCTCAGATGTACAAAAGCCTGTACCAGGAGGCCCCTTCACTGGTACTGCCATGCGTAGTAATCTGATCCCCGAAACGAGTGTGACTGGAGAGGTTGAGTTCAAGGGTCAGAGGGATGTTGACTGACCCAATCAGAAAGCAGTATTTGGTTTCAAAAGACTATGACTATGATGGTGGTGGTGTGTTTCGCAAGTTGTTTTTTCGGTTGCTAGGATGTGATGATGTTCACAGTATTTTGGAAGAACTTCTTGGTGACGGGATTTGTGCAAGGGACTCAGTAGGATTGTCGGGGTCGGGTGGTCAGGCTCTCTGACTTGGTTGATGCAGGTCATCGATCCCAATTGCGTGGATCGATGCTCATGTTGTCAATCACTGAATTTTCTGGTCCAGACTCGATTACTTACAGACCTCCATCATATAGCTGGAATATTGCTGAGTGCGGCGTTAAACAACAAACAAACAATATTTTAACATACACTTCATGGGATTATCAATCCAATTAAAATCAGATCTTCGTGGTCACTACCTCTATACAAAGATCCGAGGACATCCCAGTGCAGGAAACGTCAGAACGATCTTTCACGAACATTGGTCGACAAATGAAATGACATTCGTGACCAACTCTTGCTATTCCGGGACAAGCCGAATAGCGACTCGTGCCTCTCTCGTGGCCATTTTTGCGACCGGGTTCCGTCTTAGCGCAAACGGGCATACATAAAACAGTTGTCAACTTGTTACATAATGGGTCACATATTGACCTTTTTCACACTTCGCTACTTCCGGTTTGAAAGCGAGGCTTGGAGAGCAGAAGGTGAAGGCTGGATAGCACATGAAACACATGGAGATGTCAACAAGGCACGCAATCGGGACAAACTGTGACAATTTAACCATCCGGGTACATTAATCGTAAGTATTGAACATTATTCTTATTCTTATCATTGTCAAACTATTCTACTGTTATCTGGTCTCCTTACCGATATAAATTTGAGTCTGGCCGTTCTGTTATGATTTCAATTTAAAATATCCATGACCACCTGGTAACTCCCAGTGATACAAATGGTACTGAGATCTTGTAAAGAATAATTACATTATTTACATATTTTCAAGTCAACTTAAGCAAACCACAAGAAGAGATGAACATATCATTTGACAAAACAAATTCAAGTCTTATATTTTCTTTGTGATCGTCATGACCTTACTCAGAAAACCATAGTGTCAATGAGGCAGACTGACTGTAGGTGTGACAAAACGTGATATTTCACCTGATTTTAATAGAAATCTTATTTATTTCACTCTAGCGAAAGTATGTTTTCAGCATGGTCAGACTAAACAAAGTATTTAATGATTAAATACATACAGGTAACACAAATATCAAAATGTGTTTCATTAAAACAAGAGTGAATTTCTGTGTGACATTGATATAAAGAGCTGTAGTACACTGTCATTAAATTGATGCATCAGTTGAGTTACTGTTTACACAGTTTACTGTATGAGTTTTAGACATATCAGATGAATTGATGCCTTCAAGATTGTTCTAAAGTAGCAAACAAATGTTACACACTGTGATAAATTTTCCTTAAATTTCTTTATTTTAGAAGAATGTTGTTTTCTAAATAAGCAATATTTTGAGAGAAGGTGAATATGCATTGTTTATAAAAAAGATTATGGAAGTAGAAATATTATTAAAATATTATTGAATTATTCATTTCAGGCTTTGAGTCCAGCGAGTCAACACAATGAAGTACTAGTATCCGGTGATGGATGTCTGGAGGAGCTTTCTGCTGACAGTAACACAATGGTTACAATGTGCGTCCTGTCAAAGGACGAGGAAGTGAAAAGCCATATTCATTCAATCAACAAATGTGCTTCCTGTCACATTTCACTTAAAATAGGACGAGGAAGTGAAAAGCCTTATTCACTCACAAAACAACATGGTCAATATTTATCAGACACTAAAAAAGCACATTGTACCATTTGTTTACAAGCAAGAAAAATATTTTCTCCTGGAATTTAATTAGGTGCTTTTGACTGACAAAGACACCCGGTCCATGACAAGTTTTGAAAACTTATATGGTGAGAAATAAAGACATGAAAATTTCGGTTTGTTTTTCTTTGTTAAATATGAGAAATCCAGATTGTTCCATCAACATAATTTGTACCGATACATATATTTTATCTTGGCTTGTTTACCAATTGAAGTTGATTCCTTTTCATCTTTTGTTATATTATCTGTACTCATATCTGATCAAGACATTTTCAAACTATTCAGGATAAATGTATTAGTTGCTTCCTTTTAATATACAATTACCTATCATCATACAGGATTAGGTGAGGGTGTTCAAGAAGTTGGTGTTTGTATCAATTCTTATATTTCTTCAATTTAATGATTTATTTATATTAATCAATTTTAACTTATTTTAAACATTTCACACATTATTACTTTTGTCATGCATGGTGAAATCTCAATCGGCAATAATCGGTTAAGTAAGTGATGTTTGAAGAACAAGTAAAGTATCATCTGTCATTGTACACACTGAATAGAGTTATAACCCCTTCTGAATATTTATTTTGACACACGAGTTATTTTGTGAAGTAATTTCATTTACATCGTAATATGTTTAGATGAAAATCATAGCAGAAAAAGTGTCTTTTGTCAATTGGACTCATGGCAAAACGATAGTGCGTTGTGCAGCAAACACCACTATGAAACTTGAAATAAACATGATCGACGATCTCGAGTTCGCCAAGCAACGCATTGACTGAGCAAATTTGCAAAAGTACACTGACGTGTTTCATGTTAAGCGGTTTATTTACGATACAAAACTTCTGTCATTGAATGTGCTGTCACATTGTACCTATATGCCGACGAGGTTATGATAAAACAATCTAATTCTGAAATACGTATCTCAAAATGCACCTTTCGATTCACTTCCGGGATCCTGACAGCAAAATGCTAATTCCAGTGTATTAAAGGCATAATTAAGTTGGACCTCATGATTAAATGTGAAATATCTTCTGTATTAATACAGAGGATACCATTTTTTTTTGTTTAAATGTCCATCAGTGAAATGCACAACATGTTGTCTGTTCCCCCTGAGCTGATGCGACTCACACTGCATGGAGCTATGCTCTCCAAACCTCGTTTTCGATCCAAGATGGCGAAAGAGTGAAAAGGGTCAATATTTCTCCATATATTTCAGATGCAATTTAAAGCACATCGGAACATGCGGAATGATACAGTATGATAAAACACATTTAACTGTGTCTTGGGTATATTTTTAGATGCAAGAAATATGTAAAATCAAAAATTATTTCTGAGGGATTCTTTGAAGAAGAACTTGAAATCATACGCGCATTTTGATTGGTTTGTCGTATTTTCGCACATATCATTCATCGATAGGGGGACGAGTCTTCTTGCAGGTTACGGAAAGGGGCGAGTGGTGACTAATGATGAAATGACTGTCAGGAAGTCAACAAAAGTCAATCAGAAAGCTGTTTTCTCGAGCTTTACGCCAACGTTTTCTAAACTTTTATTCCAGACTGCGCTTTGACAAATAGTTTGAGAAAATTGAAAACTGAACAAAAGAACATTCTGGGATGCCCACTTTCGCAATCACGTAAGCGACCCTCTGATTTGTCGGATGAAAGGTACGTTCTGACGTGTCCTGTTATGTGATGTCCTCGGATCTTTGTAAAGCGGTATCGTGCACTAAGATCTGAAACTAATGAGGTTGGTGTGATTGCGGAAATCATGTTAGCGCGTTTATTTAATTTTGTATATATTCCAGCTATACGACGGCGGTCTGTATATAACCCAGTGATTGACATCATCAGCATCGATCCACGCAGTTGGGATCGATGACATGCATCATCCAAGTCAGCGAGCCTGACCACTCGATCCCAATAGTCAGTATTATAAAACATTTAGACAAACATTATTAGACATATTTGAGCACAACTGGCACTAACACATTTCCTCTTCCCATTTTCTCAATCATTATGCAAGTATCAACTCATTGTCACAACCAGAAAAATATATTTAACTGAATTACAAGACAAATCTATTGAGACTAGAGCTCTGTAAATTTAGAATATATCTCCCATGTCCATAAATGTCCTGGAAACAAGGATATTGATTTTGTGTATGTACCAACTGTACCAAACAAGAGATGGAAGATGAATTTCATGTCATTTGTGAATTATATAAAGCAACATATATTTAGATTAAGATATGAATATACATATTTAATAATCTAAATGCTATGTTCATTATCATGTTTAATTTCGTGTACTTGTTAAAACTGTACTGTACTGTACTGTGGACCATATGGCCTTATATGCTCAAAGAGCTGTCTGTTGACTGAACGTTGCCCATGGTTTCAACAAGTTAAACCATTCGGATCTGATGTTTAGTCGTTGAAAAGGTCAGTTAAACTCTCAGCGATCCGATCCGAACTCTAATCCGTACATAACATATCCATTTCAAATACCAATATCCTGTGTTAATATTCAGATTCACCTGCAACAATATAAGATTCATCTGCAAGAATAGAATGACGTCACCATAATGGCTTTCTGGCGTGTAGTCCCATAAACATTCTTTTGGGTCAAAATGTGAGAGTGAATATGGTTTTACGCCGCTTTTAGCAATAAAAAAAAAAAAGCATGTTTGTTTTGTTTGTTGTTTAACGCTGCATTCGGCAAAATATTCCAGGTATATGACGGCGATCTGTAAATTATTAAGTCTGGACCAGACAATCCAGTGATTGACATGAGCAACGATCTTCGCAATTGGGATACGATGACATGCATCAACCAAGTCAGCGAGCCTGACCACCCGGTCCCGTTAGTCGCTTCTCATGACAAGCATGGGTTACTGAAGACCTATTACAACCCTGATCTTCACGGGTCTGTTTAGCATGAAAGAATAAAGGGTATTATTAGCACATCGTTATATGAAAATGTTTTGTTTGTTTGCACTCAGAATTATATCAGCTATATGACTGCAGCATGTAAACTCATCGAGTGTTGACGAGAAAATCCAGTGATTGATGGTATGAGCAACGTTCTTTGTCGACGATTTTCGATGAGACGTCATCACTAGGCCGAAACGTCAGATTCACTCAGTCTCCGAATTGCGGACAGGCTGTCGAGGTTCCATAACAATACGGAGACAATATGGCGATCGCTTAATATGTACATTTCGGGTTGAGAATCGGGTCTCGCTTTGGGAAATATATTTACCAGCGTCCATAGCAACCTTAATCCAAACATTTGTTTTTGAGATGAGTCGGATAGAAATGAGACTTGAACTAACATTTCAATACTAAAGCAAGCATACTTTGTGTTTAATACCGCGATGTAGTCACGTGCGGTCACCATGTTATACAGGTGAGCGACATCGAGTAGATTAATCCCTGAAGCGTCTATTCGACAAAGTATTAATCTGTTGCTATTGGGATATCATAACTGGACATTGTCGGGTGTTGCGTTTCAAGTGTTCACCTGATTGAGTCGGGTAGGTGCTGGGTGGTTTAGGTGCGGGTGGTGTTTGGAAATCGGGTAGGGAGGGTTAGAGAGGCTGTGGGGCGATGGGGATAAGTTATAGACGCGTTTTTTATTTATAAATATCAAATATGGCGGGGGGGGGGGGGGGGGGGGGGGCAATATATATTGAAATAAGACCGTTGACACAATCATCACAATATGCATTATGACATTCGTATGTCGGCGCAGTTAGCATGTCCTTGTGTTGTTGCCTTATTATTTTTAGATATATTTAAACCACGGTCCCATATCTTTACACAAGGTTGCGCACGATTGATTTTACTTCAGAAACAGCGAGCGGTGCTGCACGGAGCGTCTGGCCTTTTTTGGAGATAATGTGGATATATACATTTCTGGCACTCGTGCCATTAACAAATGTAGAAATAGTTAGCAACGCCACAAGGCCCGTGGTCAGTAACCTTATAGGCTAGTCTCAATGTGCAAGTGTTCCCATGCTTAAAATAGGCCACTTGTATTTTGTGGACAAGCGCTCTTCGCCGGTCGACGGGTCGGGTGGGTATACATTCAACTTTCGTACGCTTTGTTCAACTCGAAAACATTCAAGTCAAACGACGGCGGCCTGTAGATACTGGAGGCGAGGTGAAATGGGGTTGAACGTCGTTCGTTCGTGTGTGCTTGAGTGTGTGTGTGTGCGTGCGTGCGTCCGGACTGATGCCGATTTATAGTGCTAGCTCACTGACATACCATGCCGTAGTTTAACCTGAAAACCCCACTCAGACACAGTATACCGATTCCGAGCCGACCAGACCTTGTTTAAGCCCCTTAATGCCGAGCGCCAAGCAGGTTAACAAGTACAATATTTTAACGTCTTTTGGTATGACGCGGCCGGGGATCGACTCACGGACTTTCCGTTCTTCGGGCGGACGCTCTACCACTAGACCACAGAGGCGGTCCTATGGTAAGGGGAACAGCTCCGTGAACAAGGCACTGGAAAAACCTTTAAAAATAATAGGACACAGCTTTTCTCAGACATTTATTGAGGAACAGCTTTATCTTTCGGACAGTGGTAGGAACACGTCCCATGACCTACTGGCCGTGAACCCCAACACTGATGACCGATGGTGACCAGCCTCCACGTCAGACTTCGTCGACGTCATGACCTTGACCCCGAGGAACAGTTGCGTCACCTTTCACCCCTCGATACTTCCGGATTTTGGAAACGGGCCGACGTCAACGTGATTTGGTTCTCAAATATACCTGGTAGAATAAAAAGTTATTTCCTTTTAAGGTGAGGTGAGATGGGGTGAAATTGGGATTAACGTCACGTCCAAGATAATTGCTCTTATTTAGCGACTTGCGTGCGTGCACTAGTCCGGCATGCCGCAGTTTAACATGAATATCCCACTCAAACACAGTACACTGACTCCGAGCCGACCAGTCCTTGTTTTATCCCCTTAATGCCGCGCGCCAGACAGGGTAACAAGTGCCATATTTTAGCGTCTTTAGGTAAGACGCGGCCGGGGATCGACCTAGTCGACTGACCTTCCGCTCTCCGTGCGGACGCTCTACCACTAGACCACGGAGGAGGTCTGCTTTTTAAGACCGAGTGTCTAAGTCCAATACGGACATATCACAAGAGACTGAAAAAATACAAGGTTGTTTATTCATTTGAATTTATCTGCTAGGGACGCTGATGAATTATACTATGCATTTAGGTTATATATATTCACAGACCCGTGAAGATCCGGGGTAGAATAGGTCTTCAGCAACCCATGCTTGCCGTAAAAGGCGACTAACGGGATCGGCTGGTCAGGCTCGCCGACTTGGTTGATGAAAGGTCATCGATCCCAATTGCGTGGATCGATGCTCATGATGTCAATCACTGGATTGTCTGGTCCAGACTCGATTATTTACTGACCGCCGTCATATAGCTGGAATATTGCTGAGTGCGGCGTTAAACAAACCAACCAACCAAATATATATATTCACCGAGTTCATTGTCAATTACAGTCGATTGTTTTTGTTGAAATATATAATTGAAGTTTGGTTGGTTGGTTTATTACGAGTAGGGAATGTTTTGGGTTTAGAATCGAATCTGGACTAAATCCAGTGATTGACATCATGAACATCAACGTAAGTCACCGAGCTTCTGACAAGCAGAGGTAGCCTGGGACTATTCTTACCCGGAATCCCCACTGGTTGGAAAAAAATCGGTGAAACCCAAGAAGTAGTCTACAGTTCTCCATATTTCTACAAACAAATTCCAAGCCCCCTAAATAACAGCCATTTTGACGCATTTGAAGCTTGAACAGATACTAACCGTGGATATCCCTTCTGATACGATTTTTACCACAGGAACTCTGAAATAGTAACAAATAGTAAGTTTGGATATTATATTTTTAGTAACGCGGTTACAAATTCGCAAGAAACCAGCATCGGTAGTATTCCCGTGAGGTGAGGTTAAAATGGGGTTTAACACATCTTCCTGTGGCAGGAAAATTAACTGACTTTAAAAGTCTCGTTTCCATCCTTGCCGACCATTCCTGGAATTCCTGTGCTCTATCGTAGCGTCACAAGTGGCTATTACGATTTATGTCCCTTCTATGCCTCTCCTATGGACCAATCAGATTCCACCTCTCATATCACTTGCATTTGCTTCAAACAAATTGGCGGCGCCCAATCAAGACGATCTGATCGATAATCAAGATCTATATTGTGAAAAAACGAGTCTTACATCGCGAAGTGCATCAAATCACGTGAGCATGTTCATCAAAAACATGAAAAGATGTGAAAATATCTGTTGACGCCGAGTTGGCGGTGCAAATGCTTTGCAAATCCTGCAATCGACCGAAATCTGCATGACAGTTTACAAACCGGATTTCGATTTCGTTGCGCGATTTTGATTGGACTTTGCACAGACTCGTTAGTTCATAATGCCAGTCTAGTTCGGCAAGGGTGGAAACTGAACTTTTAAAGTCAGTTAACTCACTTGCCCCGGGAAGATGGGTTTAATGTCGCGATAAAGATTATTTCACTTTAAAAGCGACTTGCGTACCTGTACTAGTCCGGACTAATGCCGATTTTATAGTGCTAGTCAAATGAATTACCTTGCCGCAGTTTAACAAGAATAGCCAGCCCCCTTACGATATACCTTCTCGGAGCCAACAAGATGTTTTATCCATCAATCTAATTAAAATCAGATCTTAGCTCTCGATACCGCTAAACAAAGATCTGAGGACATCCAATTACAGGTCATGTCATACCGACCTTGCGCCAACTTTGACCGACCAATGGAATGATCAATCAGAAGGCATCTTTCTCGTGCTTTACAGCACTAATTTCAAATCGGCGACTACGCTCCGAAACATATTTTGTCAAATTCTCCATTACAAATTTGAAACCTAAACAAAAGAATATTCTGGAATGGCTAATAGATGCTCTAGATTGTATGAATTCAGTCATTAAACCCGTAACTATCGTTCGGAATACCCCGTGTTAAAGTTTTCGAGGTTGCATGATTAGAAAATCACATTCCGACTGTCCCTTTCATGATCTGGTAAGCGATGGGTCGGATGAAAGGTCGTTCTGACGTGACCCCTAAAGGGATGTCCTCAGATCTTTGTTTAGCGGTAGCGAGGACTAAGGTCTGATTTTAATGAGATTGTTTTATCCATTTAATGCCGAGCGACTGGCAGGGTTCCATCTTTTAACGCCTTTTGGTATGACCATCCGTTCTATCCACTAGACCAGGGAGGCGATATGAGGCTGACATTAACTCACCCCGTCACACAGTGTGCTGCAAAGCGTCACGTTACACTCAAACGCCAGAGTTTTCTCCCCTGGTAAGGTGAAACTGTCGAAGTAGGGACCGATGCTTGTGAGGCCCTTCGTGTTGAAACCGTAGTGTCGGGGAAAGACTATCCCATCGCCGCATCTGGAGAACGACAACAGGAACAATTGTGAATAATTAAACTTCAGCTTAAAAAAAATAAAGAAAATAAAAATAAAATACAAATAAAAAATAAAGAAAAAATAATCAGCCATTACGTTTGACATCGATCCGGTCAAATGTCATTCTCAGCTCCCTGAGGATAATTCAATCAAATGATACGCTTTGGTAAACGTTACGCTAAACATAACGTTTGGCCCGATGAATCGCAAAATAACTCAAAATAACACGGCAATCAATAACCTGTACCCAACAATATCTGCTGCTTATTTTTGTTCCCATCAGTGAACAAAATGGTTTAAGAAACTATGTTATCTGTACAAATTGACGGCTTGAACGGAAGGGGGCACACAGGTAGGAGGAACAGCCCAAACACGCACGTGCTACACAACGATACAGCGCGCGAGCGAGTTGGGTTTAACGCCGCTTTTAACAGTATTCCAGTTATATCACGGCGTGTCAGCTTAATGTGGGAGGAAAGCCCGAATTGATGCAGGTCTCAGACGTTTACCACTTCGGTGAAACCCACGACTGGGCCACCCGTGCGTGCGTGCGTGCGTGCGTGCGTGCGTGCGTCCACCCCCCCCCCCCCCCCCCCCCCCCCCCCCCCCCCCCCCACCCCCCCCCCCCCCCTTTCAACATCCCACAGTTCTGTTCAAAAAACGTCCAACGTCACCTTTGACGGTACCCCAAATCAACTATTGGGTTCAGACCGCCCTGGTCATATTCATCTGTTGCAGCAGCGTCATATCTCTTTAAGGCTATTAGACGTCAGGGCCTTGCTGTCTGGACCCTGCACACTATGATGCATTGTCCATTAGGGACTTGGTAGGCAAAGCGGGGACCAGTTTATTTTTCATCCACTCCAGAAATCCCTTGCGATCACTTCTGTCCTTGGCAGGAAAGACGAGGCCCTAGCCTGGAACTAGCACAGCCAGCATGGAGAACGATAAGTGTCACCTTATCCCATTGGTAACTTTCTCCCACTCCTTTCAGTCCCCACCGGGGATGCGTATACATCTTTCGTATCTGAGAATACATCTTTCGTAGCTGCGTATACATCTTTCGTAGCTACGTATACATCTTTCGTAGCTGAGAATACATCTTTCGTAGCTGAGAATACATCTTTCGTAGCTGCGTATACATCTTTCGTAGCTGCGTATACATCTTTCGTAGCTGCGTATACATCTTTCGTAGCTGCGTATACATCTTTCGTAGCTGCGTATACATCTTTCGCAGCTGCGTATACATCTTTCGTAGCTGCGTATACATCTTTCGTATCTACGTATACATATCTGTTTTGTAATACATCAGCATGGTATACCTCGTACCGACTCTGGGGCTCGATTATTTATAGACGTAATTGGCTGTGGCATAAACATTTCTGCTTCACCTATGCCAATGGCAGTTTCATACAATTAATAGATTATTGAAAATGTGTGTAGCAATGTGTTTTGGACCGTAAACATGACTATTAATTGCTTAAAAGTATTACAAACTGTAGTGACACCAGATCTTGAAATGTGAGGTTATCCGTTTTTTAAAAACGGTTCAAGATTCAGCATAGTACTGTGGAAACTCGACAGATTGGCCACCATGTTGGGATTGGCCGCCATGTTGTCGACTTACCCCGCCCTCAGCACAGCGTATCTCGCCTTGGGGACTGAACCAACGACATCACAAGACAGGGGGCTGACGCCCACTTCTTTTGACGTCCCTGAAATGAAACCGTGAGTGAATTGTGTCATGGTGCGGTCGGTGATCGTGGGCATAATGCGCTTCTTTAGTCGCTTTATAAAATATTAATAACTGTACATGTCAGGTGCGTTAGGGGGACGAGGAAGAGGGGATAAGGAGGATGGGGTAAGAGATACCGAGGATGGGGGGAGGGAGAACGATGATGTGGGGGAGGAATAACGATGATGTGGGCGAGGGATAACGATGTGGGCGAGGGATAACTGTGATGTGGGCGAGGGATAACGAGGATTTCGGGGAGGGATAACGAGGATTTCGGGGAGGGATAACGAGGATTTCGGGGAGGGATAACGAGGATTTCGGGGAGGGATAACGAGGATTTCGGGGAGGGATAACGAGGATGTGGGGGAGGGATAACGAGGATGTGGGGGAGGGATAACGAGGATGTGGGGGAGGGATAACGAGGATTTCGGGGAGGGATAACGAGGATGTGGGGGAAGGGATAACGAGGATGTTGGGGAAGGGATAACGAGGATTTCAGGGAGGGGTAACGAGGATGTGGGCGAAGGGATAACGAGGATTTCGGGGAGGGATAACGAGGATGTGGGGGAAGGGATAACGAGGATTTCGGGGAGGGATAACGAGGATGTGGGGGAAGGGATAACGATGATTTCGGGGAGGGATAACGAGGATGTGGGGGAAGGGATAACGAGGAAGTGGGGGAAGGGATAACGAGGAAGTGGGGGAAGTGATAACGAGGATGTGGGGGAAGGGATAACGAGGATGTGGGGTGTGGGGGAAGGGATAACGAGGATGTGGGGGGAGGATAACGATGATTTCGGGGAGGGATAACGAGGATGTGGGGGAAGGGATAACGAGGATGTGGGGGAAGGGATAACGAGGAAGTGGGGGAAGGGATAACGAGGATGTGGGGGAAGTGATAACGAGGATGTGGGGGAAGGGATAACGAGGATGTGGGGTGTGGGGGAAGGGATAACGAGGATGTGGGGGGAGGATAACGATGATTTCGGGGAGGGATAACGAGGATGTGGGGAAGGGATAACGAGGATGTGGGGGGAGGGATAACGAGGATGTGGGGGAAGGGATAACGAGGATTTCGGGGAGGGATAACGAGGATGTGGGGGGAAGGGATAACGAGGATGTGGGGGGAGGGATAACGGGCATGTGGGGGAAGGGATAACGGGCATGTGGGGGAAGGGATAACGAGGATGTGGGGGGAGGGATAACGAGGATGTGGGGGAAGGGATAACGAGGATTTCGGGGAGGGATAACGAGGATGTGGGGGAAGGAATAACGAGGATTTCGGGGAGGGATAACGAGGATGTGGGGGAGGGATAACGAGGATGTGGGGGGGGATAACGAGGATGTGGGGGAAGGAATAACGAGGATTTCGGGGAGGGATAACGAGGATGGGGGGGAAGGGATAACGAGGATGTGGGGGAGGGATAACGAGGATGTGGGGGAAGGGATAACGAGGATGTTGGGGGAGGGATAACGAGGATGTGGGGGGAGGGATAACGGGCATGTGGGGGAAGGGATAACGAGGATTTCGGGGAGGGATAACGATGATGTGGGGGAAGGAATAACGAGGATTTCGGGGAGGGATAACGAGGATGTGGGGGAAGGAATAACGAGGATTTCGGGGAGGGATAACGAGGATGTGGGGGAAGGAATAACGAGGATTTCGGGGAGGGATAACGAGGATGTGGGGGAAGGAATAACGAGGATTTCGGGGAGGGATAACGAGGATGTGGGGGAAGGAATAACGAGGATTTCGGGGAGGGATAACGAGGATGTGGGGGAAGGAATAACGAGGATTTCGGGGAGGGATAACGAGGATGTGGGGGAAGGAATAACGAGGATTTCGGGGAGGGATAACGAGGATGTGGGTGAGGGATAACGAGGATGTGGGGGAGGGATAACGAGGATGTGGGAGGGGGGATAACGAGGATGTGGGGGAGGGATAACGAGGATGTGGGGGAGGGATAACGAGGATGTGGGAGGGGGGATAACGAGGATGTGGGAGGGGGGATAACGAGGATGTGGGAGGGGGGATAACGAGGATGTGGGAGGGGGGATAACGAGGATGTGGGGGAGGGATAACGAGGATGTGGGAGGGGGGGATAACGAGGATGTGGGAGGGGGGATAACGAGGATGTGGGAGGGGGGATAACGAGGATGTGGGGGAGGGATAACGAGGATGTAAGGGAGGGATAACGAGGATGTGGGGGAGGGATAACGAGGATGTGGGAGGGGGGATAACGAGGATGTGGGAGGGGGGATAACGAGGATGTGGGGGAGGGATAACGAGGATGTGGGAGGGGGGATAACGAGGATGTGGGAGGGGGGATAACGAGGATGTGGGAGGGGGGATAACGAGGATGTGGGAGGGGGGATAACGAGGATGTGGGGGAGGGATAACGAGGATGTAAGGGAGGGATAACGAGGATGTGGGGGAGGGATAACGAGGATGTGGGAGGGGGGATAACGAGGATGTGGGAGGGGGAATAACGAGGATGTGGGAGAAGAAGGAGAGGGGGGGGGGGGGGGGGGGAGAGAAGAAGGGGGACGAGGTAGGATGTTGATGATTTAACCACTTGGGTACCCGACCACCCCTGAATCAGTCAGTCTTACCAACATCCAGTATTTAATATCTTCCGGTCGAGCTTACCGTCGGTTTTTATTTTTAGGGTGACCTTGCGACCGAGCGTCAATGCCTCGTCAGGGCGAAGGTCATTTCCAAGAATGTCTGCCATGGTCAATGTCACGGACGAACTGGAGACTGGGCCGTTGTTGATCTGGAGCACCCGAGGAGCGGCAAGCCTGGACGAGATGTTACATACTTTTTAAAAATAAGGTTTTAATTTTATACAAATATTTTTAATTAGAAATTATTAATATTAATATGGCCGATCCCTAAAATTCCGCCCAATCACATGTATATATACAAAGCATAAGATGTTTTGAGGATGTTGGATACATTTCGTGTCATCGTACTGTTCTTCCCAAGTTATATTTAGGTAACACAAGGGTTGCTGGGGATGCAAGGACCAACTCCATGTTGAGAAAATGTTCTCTTGTTGTTTAACGCTGCACTCAGCAATATTACAGCTATATGACGTCGGTTTGTAAATTATGGAGGCTGGACCAGACAATCAAGTGATTGACATCATGACCATCGATCCACACAATTGGGATCGATGACATGCATCAACTAAGTCAGCGAGCCTGACCACCCGATCCCGGGAGTCGCCTCTTACGATAAGCATGGGTTGCTGAAGACCTATTCTACCCCGGAATCTCCATGGGTGAGGTGACAAACGGGATCAGATTGTCAGTCTCGCTGACTTGGTTGATGCATGTCATCGTATCCCAGTTGGGTACATCGATGGTCATGATTTCAATCACTGGTTTGTCTGGTCAAGAAAAGAATATTTACAGACATATACACGTGTAGCTGGAACATTGCCCGAGTGCGGCGTTAAATTAAAAAAAAAAATACACGACAGTAAACTTGTAGAAAGTTGTAAACGGCAAGCAATAAATAAAATACTGAACTCGCTCTCGTGATACCAATTTTATGAAACTGGCATCTATCATCTGACTCTTTCGCTCGTCAGATACCAGAACTGTCAACTCGTTCATAAAATTAGTATTACACGAGAGCTCGTATAGTATTCTATATTTTTCTTTCCAAACCGTCTTCCACAGGAGATATGACTTAAATAAAATTACACCACAATGCTTTGCAGGCAATAGTGACGTATTCGGTTACTATGACGTCACAATGAAATCATGCCAATTATTAATATTTACGAAAAATAAAGTAATGCCTGAAAATTTAAATAGTTGCTTCCTTAGATCTTGAAGCACGTCGTAACAACGTCATACTGGTCGTGTGTGACTTCATAGTGTTGGATTTGAACATAACATTAATACTAGGTGTATCTCTCCCCAAGCTCTAAATCAGTCCGAGAACACGAGTACATATACCAATACATTTCGCCTGAACGAGTCTTCAAGGCTCCAGTACGTCACAATGAAATCACATCACTTATCTCTCTGCTGCTGAAGCTGGTTAGCTGTACGTTTTACATCAGATACACTGCATATTAAGGTTTGCAAAACTGAAAAAGTTGGAAGAGATTTTGGACGATAAATAGAATCTCACCCCAGTGTCTTGATATGAAATATGTCCATACTCGTCGATGGTTGATTGGTTTGTTGTTTAACGCCGCACTCAGCAATATTACAGCTATATGACGGCGGTCTGTAAATAATCGAGTCTGGACCAGCCAATCCAGTGATTGACATCGTGAGCATCGATCCACATCATTGGGATACGATGACGTGCATCAACCAAGTCAGCGAGCCTGACCACCCGACCCCGTTAGTCGCCTGTTACGACAGGCATAGTCGCCTTCACGGCAGGCATCGGTTGCTGATGACCTATTCTACCCCGGATCTTCACGGTTTACACTCGTCGATGAAAGTTTTAAAATCCTCAGCAAGCCTTTTTAAAAAAAGTATACATTGTAAAGGTTTTCTATTTGCATGGAAATATTTTCACAATTACTTTTGTCTTTTTTGTTTCTTTTCTCTTTTAAGGGGGTGGGGGCAATTTTCAACATCGAATTTGGAACGGCTTCATTCTGTTACTTACGACTCTTCAATGGTCTGCTCGGCAGTGTCATCGAGGGCTTTGGGGTCAAAGGTACATGTGATGGTGTAGATCTCATCGCTCTGTTGCACCTGGTCGTCATCCTCGCCGTACGCAACCACCACCCTCGTCACGTACGTCTCAACGTCCTTCCGCTTCTACAGTATCAAACATGGACTCGTCAGTGGAGCAGTTCAACAACATCCCCCACGCACGCACGCACGCACGCACGCACGCACGCACGCGCACACACGAACACGCACTGACAAAGTACTGACAGTCAACTGTTACCAAGAATGTTGTTTGTTGTTGAACTCCGCACTCATCAATATTCCAGCTATATGACGGCGGTCTGTAAATAATCAAGTGTGGACCAGACAATCCAGTGATAGACATGAGCATCGATCCATGCAATCGGGATACGATGACATGCATCAACCAAGTCAGCGAGCCTGACCACCCAATCCCGTTAGTTGCATAGTCGCCTCTTGCGACAAGCATATAGTTGCCTCTTACGACAAGCATAGTCACCTCTTCCGACAAGCATAGTCACCTCTTACGACAAGCATGCGTTGCTGAAGATCAATTCTACCCCGGTTCTTCACGGGTAGACCGACAAAGTACTGACACTCAATTGTTACCAAACATGGATCGAGTGGCGTTATGTCTCACCAGGAATTTACATTTGGAGCTGCCCTTTCCTGGGAAGGAGATGGGGAGGTTGTAGGTGATGCCGTCGTTGCTTGTGAAGTCTACATCACCCGCCGGACACTTGGCAAAGACTAACGCCCTCGGGAGGTCCGTCAACACGGTGACGACAGCATCGCCGACGTGGTCACTGCCGCAGTTGGTGCTCACTGAAAATTTGGCAAACGTCAAGTGAGATTCATAATGAATGTTCTTCTATGCCTCACTCGTCAATTGGGGCGGTCGGGTAGCTTAGTTGTGTTAATCCAGTGGACCGGTGATTGCCATTGCTAGCTACGACCCACGCGGTCGGGGTACGATGGCACGCAATCAACTAAGTCACCGGTCTTCACCGGTCTTCACCGAGCTTCACCGAGCTTCACCGAGCTACACCGAGCTATCTGGTCGCCTCATTCGACCAGCACCGGTCGCACGTTAATTTCCACGGGGTTAAACAGCAAACCAGTGATTGACAGCAATATTCGAGCTGTACAACTGCGACTTTGATTTTTGTTTGTTGTTTAACGCCGTACTCAGCAACATTCCAGCTATATGACGGTGGTCTGTAAATAATCGAGTCTTGGCCAGACAATCCAGTGATTGCCATCCTGAGCATCGATCCACGCAATTGGGATACGATGACATGCATCAACCAAGTCAGCGAGCCTGATCACCCGATCCGTTAGTCGCCTCGTACGACAACCATAGTCGCCTTTTACGGCAAGCATGGGATGCTGAAGACCTATTCTACCCCGCATCTTCACGGGTCGAAAAATGCAAGGGAATATACACGATGGCAAAGTAATAGTCCTCACCATACCTCAATACTCTTGCAAAACTGGAACTTCTTTTGCAAAATGTATCACAGGGGTGATAACGTCATGTTACCCGTGATGATTTGGGTTAGAGCAGCGACTAACGGGATCGGGTAGTCAGGCTCGCTGACTTGGTTGATGCATGTCATCGTATCCCACTTGCGTACATCGATGCTCATGATGTCAATATATGGATTGTCTGGTCCATGTTATATACAGAACGGCGTCATTTTGCTGGAGTTTGCTGAGTGTGGCGTTAAACAACAAGGAAATGGTCCATGTACGCACGGTTTACCTTTCAGAATGTAGTTTTTCGGGATAGCGCCGTAAACAGAGACCTGAAAATAGACACAATGAATAGGAGTGAGGGCATAACAGTGTTACAGTTGTCAAAAAATGACTTGGAAAATGTCCCCTAAATACTTTATTATATTGAAAAATAAACAGATTTTTCGCGAAGAGTTTCCGCATCTTAGTGGGTTGGGTTTAACGCAGCCTTGAACAGCGTGTCGGCTTGATGTGGGAACAAAGCCCGAAGTGATGCAAATCTTGTACGTTTATCAGTTTGGTGAAACCCACAAAACAGTATGGTGCTGAAAAATCTAAAAAATAATAATCGGGGTAAACCTGGATTCGAAGGTTTCTGGCGTGCGCAAACTTATTGACCCTTTTCACTTTCGCCATCTTGGATCGAAAACGAGGCTTAGAGAGCATAGCTCCATGCAGTGTGAGACGCATCAGATGATAGGGAACAGAGCATGTTGTGCATTTCACTGATGGACATTTCAAACCATAAAATGGTATCCTCTGTATCTAATACAGAAGATATTACACATTTTATCCTGAGGTCCAACTAAAATATGCCTCTAATACACTGGAATTCGCAGTTTGCTGTCAGGATCCCGGAAGTGAATCGAAAGGTGCATTTCGAGATACGTATTTCCGAAATAGATTGTTTTATCATAACCTCGTCAGCATCTGGTTACAATGTGATAGTATTATCAATGACGGATGTTTTGTTTGGTAAATGAACTGCATAACATGCAACACGTCCGTGTATTTTGCTTATTTGCTCAGTCAACGCGTGGCCTTGCGAACTCGAGATCGTCGATCATGTTTATTTCACGTTTCATAGTGGTGTTTGCTGCACCACGCACTATCGTTTTGCCACGAGTCCAGTTGACATAAGACACTTTTTCTGCTATGATTTTCATCCAAACCTTACGATGTAAATGAAATTGGTTTACAAAATAACTCTTGTGTCAAAATACATATTCAGAAAGGGCGATAACTATTCAGTGTATACAATGACAGATGAAACTTTACTTTTCCTTCAAATACTTATTTAACCGATGATTGGCGATTAAGATTGCAACGTGCACGATGTTTGAAATAAGCTGAAATGAAACAAAATTAAAACAAATATATATATTGCGTGAAATTGTATTAATTTGTATATTTCTTCTAACATCAACTTCTTGAACACCCTGACCTAATCCTAGAAGACAGGGATTTGTATACCAAACTGAGGCTACTAATGCCAAAGTCACCAAACATGGAATTGAAAGCCAAATATAAGTTTGCTGTGCTTTTTTAGTCATAACAGGACACTAATTAATTATTTGTTAAAGAATGACAATAAAAAAAACATGTCAGTTGATTAATTAAAGAATTAAGGTTCCAATCTGGGTCTGTAGATAGAGTTCGTTACACTTCAGTTCAGAGTGACAAGAATAAATTTAACTTGTCTTCTTTCAAATTTTTGTATATTCGTTCTTTGACATTGATCATGAAACCCCATGCTATCAAACTATTCATACACCAAATCTACCAAACAAAATTACACAAGTATTGTGGAATGAAAAAATTAAATTTGGCAACCAACAGGATGAGAGTTAGTTAAACAGGTTTTCAAATGTATCTGTAAGTGTTTCTGGTCTCAATAACGAGTGAGTGAGTGAGTTTGGTTTTACGCCGCTTTTGGCAATATTCCAGAAATATCACGGCGGGGGACACCAGAAATGGGCTTCACACATTGTACCCATGTCGGGAATCGAGCCTGGGTCTTCGGCGTGACGAGCGAACGCTTTAACCACTAGGCTACCCGACCGCCCTCTCAATAACGAAGTTCATGCAGATAAATGTATGATATGATAATCCTTAGGACCAAACACAAATAAAGGTATTCTTTTCATAAAGTTTCAAAAATAAATATACAAATAGATATTTACAGTCTAATTACATCTTAAAAGCTCGATATGTGTGAATATTACATTGTTTATGCATTATCCAATACCGATTATATATACCATACAATAGATGGAGATTATCAAGTTTCATGATGAGAAAATCGAGAGTTTCGAAGGAAGTATTGTTTGTTTGTTTGTTGTTGTTGTTTAACGCCGCACTCAGCAATATTCCAGCTATATCACGGCGGTCTGTAAATAATCGAGTCTGGACTAGACAATCCAGTGATTGACAGCATGAGCATCGATCCACGCAATTGGGATCGATGACATGCATCAACCAAGTCAGCGAGCCTGACCACCCGATCCCGTTAGTCGCCTTTTACAACAAGCATAGTCGGCTTTTACGGCAAGTATGGGTTGCTGAAGACCTATTCTATGCCGGAATCTTCAGGGGCCGAAGGAAGTATTGAAATTATGTCAGTGTAATATGATTTCAATTATTAAATCATTGAGATATCTCACAAAACGTTCAGCATGCTTAAAATATATTCATCATGTTCATGTTTATTTTATTTCAGATATTACAAAAATCTGATAATATCTGCCAGCAAACATGTAAATGGTGTTTAATGTTACCTATGAACTTACCAACCTCACTTTTTACAAGAATATCATCTTGGAGAATTACTAATGTTCCCACAGTCTCAGTCAGTAATAAAATGTCAAAGTGGGTCGGGGGAAAAAGTACTTGACACATACCCAATATTGTTATTTCTTCTGTTTCCAAAACCTGGTAATACATTTAAGGTGGTGAGGTGAAATGGGATTTAACGTCGAGTCCAGGATTATTGCACTTATATAGCGACGTGCATGCACGTGTATGTGTGTGTGTGGCTGCTTGTACTAGTCCGGACTGATGCCGATTTATAGTGCCAGCACACTGAGGTACCATGCCGAAGTTTAACATAAATACCCCACTCAGACACAGTATACTGACTCCGAGCCGACCAGTCCTTGTTTTAGCCTCTTAATGCCGAGAGCCAGACAGGGTAACAACAAGTACCATCTTTAAACGTCTTTTGGTATGACGCGGCCGGGGATCGAACCTCGGACCTTTCGCTCTCCGGGCGGACGCTCTACCACAAGACCACGGAGAATACATTTAAGGAATCACTATTGTTCTAATTTGGAAAACCTGGAAACCAAATGATAAAACTCAATTCTTATATCAAGAGGCAAATAAAATGCGTGTTTCAGTTGAATAATTCTGATTTATGGTCGGATATTAGTGAGTGTCTGATATGCAACTACCTAAAATCATCTGGATTTCTCATATTTAACAAAGAAAAAACACCAAAATTGTCATGTCTTTATTTCTTAAAATAATAAGCCTGTTTATCGTCCACTTGAGTTATTCAAACTTGTCAAAGCTTAACATGGGTGTCTGTCAGTCAAAATCACCTGATTAAATTCCAGGAGAAAATAATTTTCTTGCTTGTAAACAAATGGTACAATGTGTTGTTTTAGAATAGGTTTATTCAAACATCGTGAGTCTGATAAATATTGGCCATGTTGTTGCGTGAGCGATTAAGGCTTTTCGCTTCCTTGTTCTATTTAAGTGAAACGTGACAGGAAGCACAATGTGTGTTATCAGCAGCACGCTCCTCCAGACCTCCATCACCGATTGTTTCAGTTGCAGCATACATCCTCCCCGTGAAGAAAGGAAATCAACAGACCGGACTCTGTAGACTGTAGATATTCATTGTGTTGACTCTCTGGACTCAAAGCGTGAAATAAATAATATTGTAATAATATTTCTACTTCTATGATTTTTTCACCTTCTCTCAAAATATTGCTCATTCAGAAAACATTCTTCTGAAATAGAGACGTTTTAGGAAAATTAATCACAGTGAATAACTTTACAGCCTACTTTAGAACAATCTAGAAGGTATCAATTCATCTGATATGTCTAAAACTCATACAGTGTATACTGTTTACATAATGAAACCGATTTTGTATTATGTATTTAAACATGAAATACTTTGTTTAGTCTGACCATGCTGAAAACATACTTTCGCTAGAGTGAAATAAATAAGATTATTAAAATCAGGAGAAATATCACGTTTTGTCACACCTACCGTCAGTCTGCCTCATTGACACTATGGTTTTCTGAGTAAGGTCATGAAGGTCACAATTAAATTATAGGAATAGGACTTGTAATTGTTTTTGTCAAATGAAATGTTTATCTCATCTTGTGGTTTACTAAAGTTGATATTTTGACTTGAGACTGTGCCACTCATGAACATATTAACTTTGTCAGATCACAAGATGAGAAATTCATGCTATCATCGTCATTTGACAAGGAAAACAAACTTCCTCTGTATTTATACTTTATATTTCTCGTCTTGATTGAATTAACAAAATTATGAAAACGATCACACCACTTGGCTTAATTAAAATATACTAAAGTTCTAAAGATTGTTCACAATAGCAAAATATTACATCATAATATATTTATTGCACACTGACATAGTAAGCACAACTATCATCTAATACACTGAAAGGCAAAAGAAACGTCATGTGGATGTATCATATAAATATCTTTATTTTCAAATGCTTATATATGTAAGTAAAGACATCGGAGACCCAGTGTTTGACCCACATGAAATTAACAGTCTGGGGAATGTTTTTGCGAATTGTGAATTTGGGGAGGCACCAGAAGACATCACAGCTGGGGGGTTCAAAATCAGTACCTGGTGTGGCCACCACGGGCGTTGACTACAGCCACACACCTCCTGTACATGGAGTGGACTAGCCTGTTGATGAAGGCCATTGGGATATGGGCCCATATCACCAGCAACGCTACACGCAGTTCTGCTGCAGTTGTCCGCCTTGGGCGTACGTCGTTGAGTCGGCGTTGGATCTCATCCCACAAGTGTTCAATGGGATTCAAATCCGGACTGAGGGCAGGCCAAGGCATGATTTGGATGTTGTGCTGCTGGAGGACGTCCCTGATGACCCTGGCAGTGTGGTGACGGGCGTTGTCTTGCTGAAAGGTGTGGTTTGATGACGGGCAAAAAAAGGCACGATATGGGGCCTGAGGACTTGGTCAATGTAGCGGAGAGCTGTGATGCCATTACCCCTGCCTCGACCAATATTCTGAAAGACCACAGGTCCCCCTCTCTGGTTCAGTCCGATTCCGACCCAAACCATGATGCTTGGGCTGCCCCATGGGTCTCGTTCCTTACCACAAGCATCAGCATAACGTTCGCCCCTCCTTCGCCAGACCCTGACTCTGCCATCCACCGTTGAAACACAGTAGCGACTTTCATCAGTGAAGATGATTCTTCTCCATTGCTGTTGACGCCAATTTTGATGCTGCCTGGCCCATTGCAGTCGGGCCTGTCGGTGACGATCTCTCAGGATGGGTACACGAGCAGGACGGTGGCACGAGATGTTGTTGGCAGTTAGGCGACGTCGGACTGTACGATGTACTGATGGCACGCTGGTGGTTGCCAATGGTTTGCCGAGCTGTTTCAGTGGCCATTATCAATCGGTTCTGCAGATGTTGGCGTATCATGAGCCGATCTTGTCTGGGAGGAGTGACTCTAGGACGACCACTCGTGGTGTTGTGGCGATGTTGCAAACGATATATCGTTCTGACGTTGACATTGAATGCATTTGCAACGACCTGTGCACTCTGGCCTGCTTGCAGTCTTCCGATCGCTTGTTGTCTCATTTCCTGATAATCTTGGCATGGCTGATGAATCGAAATAACGAAAGCCAGCTTAACAGTTTTGGGTGTCTTTCATACCCATACCACCCACGATATGCACGTGTATGATGTTTTTGACAAGACTTTTCCGCAACTGAGTCCTTTTGCACTTTTGTAGGCTGCGTTTGGGCAAAGCACTCCATTTTAAACTCAATTGATAAATGGACTTTAAGGGAACAAAAAGAAGCAGTAGAACGATAAATGAGTTTATTGACCACAGAACATGTAACTGCCAGTGTCTAAGTTTTATCAGTATTTTCAGAAGTGACGTTTCTTTTGCCTTTCAGTGTATATAGATTAATACGATTAATAATGATACATTATTCTCGCAATACCCTCGGGAATTATACAACATTCATAAAATAATTCTGTTTATAGTAATCTCAATCTCAATTCATGCATTTGAAACATTTGAATACAGACTGTTAAAGCGCTCTGTTTCTGTACATTACATAAAGATCACATGTAGAGTGAACATTTACTGGCCATTAATTATTTGGGTTTTTGTTCATTTCATGACTTGATTAATTTGGTACAGAAAGGTAAATATCTTAACTTAAAATATTAAAATATTTACACACCTTTATGTTATAATTCATTTGAATTATTACACCTCATGCTATCTAATCTGTCAGCATCGACAATTAAAATAACTGCTGTTCACAATCACAGCAGCACTAGTAGATCTAGAGGTCTAATATTTTATTGGAATGTATTTGGGTCCATTACAATTTACATCAAATACTCAACTGATGCAAAATTCTGATTTGTTTATGATTGTAAGTTCTCAATAGGTTACAATATGATAAATAAAAATCAACATATTAATTTGGTTTGTTTCTGACATCTGTCTAGATATAGTCAAAAGGTCAATATTTTCTACTCGACTTCAAATAGACCTCACAAAATTATTCAAACTCACCTTGACTAAAACACAAAAATGAATTATTTTTTACACGATCCCAGGAGGATTTGTATTTAGTCTGTTCAGCCACCATAAACTGCACTAGGAGTTACTAGGTGGCCATGGACATTTGAAATTGAAATCACAACAGAACGGCCAGACTCACTTGCTAAATTTATATCGGTAAGGAGACCAGATAACAGTAGAATATTTTGTCAATGATAAGAATAAGATTAATGTTCAATACTTACGATAAATGTTGCCGTGATAGTACCGGGATGGTTAAATTGTCACAGTTTGTCCCGATTGCGTGCCTTGTTGACATCTCCATGTATTCAAACCGGAAGTAGCGAAGTGTGAAAAAGGTCAATTGCGACGCCTTAGACGACGGGGCCACTCGTGCCCCCGTTGTATTTTATATACGAGATAGATACGCGATAAATAGCAAAGAACAAATAACGAAGGGTGTTTAATTTCACGACAAAACATTGTTCTATCATGACGTCCTTTCTGGAGCTCTCTACTTGATGACGTCATATATTGGACGACGTTTCTGTGAGTGAGTGAGTTTGGTTTAACGCCGCTTTTAACAGTATTCCAGTCATATCGCCGCGTGTCAGCTTAATGTGGGAGGAAAGCCCGAAGTGATGCAGGTCTTAGACGTTTACCACTTCGGTGAAACCCACGAGCACGGGTATGGTGCTGACAAACCTAGAAACATAATCGGGGCGAACCGGGATTCGAACCCACAATCATAGGTTTCTGGCGTACCGAAGGGGCGCAACTCTGCACATCGAACCTGAGACGACTGGGCCACCCGTACCCCCGACGATGTTTCTGGGAGGGAAATGCCTTGTAAGTTGTTCCCCACAGATGTAGCTGGGCTAAGCAGATAATTGCACGATCGCACCCAAAAGTGAAAGAGATATGAAAATCGGTTTTGGGGGAAAAGGTACAGGTAATCGACGTGATGATTGTGAGAATCTGCAGGAAATACCAAACTTACCGACTTGTTCGTAATATAGAATTGTCCAACCTTTCCGAGGTCGGATCATTTTTAAAATTTAGGTAAATACTTTTTAAGCTTGAACATTTTAGCAGCATCCTTAAAGAGGCTGTACATAATATTGATATATCAAAGAAATAAACGACTCGTGGTCGTGGTCACTGTTTATCGTACAATAAAACGCGGCGACCCTCATGGTTTATTCTCCCTGCAGTGTTTAATTGTACAATAAACTACTTGTACAATAAACTACAATAAGTACTTAATATCTCATTCCAGCCCAATCACTATCTCCTGTGGGAGACAGACTAAGATTTTAAAACGACATCTTTGAGTGATGACGAGCGAGTCTGGTTTAAATTATATTTAGATACTGTCAAGCGCGGCTTTAACTCGTTAAGTGTCCTGCAAATAAAATGTTTTCTATGCCGATTGGGGCGTGATATATTACTCTGAGGCAATACGTGGGAATATGGAATTTCGTTCTTCGATACCCGTGCTGCATTTGAGGTGAGGTGAAATGGGGTTTAACGTCGCGTCCAAGATTATTGCACTTATATAGCGACGTGCATGTACGTGTGTGTTTTGTGTGGCTGCTTGTACTAGTCCGGACTGATGCCGATGTATAGTGCTAGCTCACTGAGATACCATGCCGCAGTTTAACATGAATACCCCACTCAGACACAGTATACTGACTCCGAGCCGACCAGTCCTTGTTTTAGCCCCTTAATGCCGAACGCCAGACAGGGTAGCAACAAGTACCATCTTTTATCGTCTTTTGGTATGACGCGGCCGGGGATCTAACTCCGGACTCCGGACCTTCCGCTCTACCACTAGACCACGGAGGCGGTCTGCTGCATTTGAACTCGCCCGTTTATTTACACTGCACGTGTATTTTGTGTGATTTGATCGTTGTAGCCAGTCCCTTCGTACTCAGACTTTAATGCCTGCACTTAAAATCTTCATTTCAGAAGGTATATCAGTAAACTGCCAAGTCGCTACAGATCTAAGATGAAACAGTGACGTCATAGATGTACTTTAAGACGGGTGAGTTGTTTGACGCCGCAGTCGGGTGTATGACGGCCGCCTTTAAATGATCAAGAATGTACACAATGTTCGTAGAAAACTAGTGATTGAAAACATGAGCACCTATTCATGGCAATATGTTCAATGACATACAACCATCCATTTCAGTAGCTGAGAGCCGCGATGGGGTCTTGACTGTCGGCTCTCGTCAAATTGAAGTGTTTCTGTTCACATGGTTCCTCTTAAACTCGTTAACATGAAATCTTCTGAAGATTCAGTTTTATATTATTAAATCAAATATTTATAAAAGTTATTAAGTTATTGTTAGATACACTGGTCGACCGTTTTATTTATGTAATAGTACCATAACTAAATTATATTATTTACAAATTGTTCTTTTAAACTTTTACCTTGTTTATATAATTAACATGGTTTTTTTACCTGTGATAAAATATGACTGAAAAAAGCTCAATCTGTAAACATCTTCTACTCACGAGAAATGTGACGACAATCGCCAATCTAAAGCCGAACACCATACTCGCTGTTTCGACTGCTAGCTCAGTGTGCTCGCGGCTATGACTTCTCCAGCCTCACGTGCTGCACGTGCTCAGCTGAGTGAGATGCACGTGCGAATGATTGCGTTGCAGCTTACTTCGATCCCGTGTCGGGGTTCTTGTCCGAGTTCTGGATTTCTTGAAATCACGTTTGAAATTGAAAATCATTGAATGGTTTATTTTTCTAAAGCGATTAAATGATACTAGAGGTGAGATATACAGATGATATTTCATGTGTCGAGTGATATATCATGTTTCTCTCATCGGGGAAAACACAGCGACGTTTCATCACCCCTTGTATTTGCGACATAAAATTTAGTTCCGTGTTTGCAAAATCTTAAAGAATATAAAACTATACTTAGGGTAACGAAAATTCTTTACCATACATCTAGATATGATTATATGCAAAATCAACTTTAAAAAGATATTCTCGAAATCTACTAGACCGCTGTTAGGAGCGAAAGAATACACGCTTGTCAATTAACCAAAATGTCGCTTTGCGAAACGAACAGTCTCGAATTTGATTAAAATTAACATTAACTCTATTAATGACCATCTGTCCTTAGACCGCCTCCGTGGTCTAGTGGTAGAGCGTCCCTGTCTGGCGCTCGGCATTAAGGGGCTAAAACAAGGACTGGTCGGCTCGGAGTTAGTATACTGTGTCTGTGAAGGTTATTTATGTTAAACTGCGGCATGGTATCACAGTGAGCTAGTACTATAAATCGGCATCAGTCCGGACTAGTACAAGCAGCCACACAAACACACACACGTACATGTATCCAAGGTACTTTTAAACTCCTTAATGAGCGGTGTTAATTGGTGTTAGTTGGTCTTAATTACCGGAGTGTAACAGTCGTTACCTCTTCACCTGGGCTACGGTAATTCCCTCGTTCTTGGTGCTGACAGTCAGGGATGAGCGAGAGGTACAAAGTCAGAACCCGAGGGCCTTGGATAAATTACCGTAGTTCTCCCAATGAGCACAAAGAGTGTTCTTCGTCGATGGCTTTTTATTCAATCAAAAGATTGATCACCAACTTTATGGTCACGATGTACTAATTAATGGACTTTAGCCGCGAAGCTTCAGGTAGTCCTGGCCGAAATACTGGAGGTCTAATCTGGCGTTTCCAAGAATAAGTTCGAGACCGTGGTTATCAAGTGGGATCCTCCAGCCGCCCCGAACCTTGGGTCTCCCCGTCTTTTTACCCCCAGCTTACGTCAAGGTTTTTCCCATTTCTTTCCTATTTCACTGGTCAACCACCTCCCCCCCCCCCCCCCCCCCCCCCCCCCCCCAACCCTCACCTTAGGTCGTTCTCCCCAATTCTTATCTAATAATCAGCACCTTATTCGGGCTTGATCTGATGTAGCTTCTCACCCTTTTGGAATTCGAACTATCCCCCCCCCCCCCCCCCCCCCCCCCCCATACCATATATGTCTCAAGTCCCTGACGTTTCCGTCCTACTCATCTCTGTTCAGCTTTTTATCTATTTCCTATCTAGTTAATCATTTTTCATTAATGTATAGCCCTCGACCTACTACCCTCACCCCTGGTTACTGATAGCCAAGCATGCTCCCGTAGTCTTCAACTACCAGAGCTGCCCGTCTCCTATATATATTTATGTCCACATCTCACCGACCCCAACTCCCCCTCTTGACCTTTTTATATAATCACGTAGGTGTCTTAATGAATTGTTAATTACTTTAATTATTTGTTAATTATCTAAATATGTATTACACTTTTGTGCCTATAATACGACCCCCGTTTTGGCGAAGAGTGTGTCTTCACACTCTCAAGACGTGGAGAGCCAGGTTGATTCACTTTTTGAATTTGGAATATTTGGTGAGTGAGTGAGTGAGTTGTGTTTAACGCCGCTTTTAACAATATTACAGTTATATCGCGGCGTGTCAGCTTAATGTGGGAGGAAAGCCCGAAGTGATGCAGGTCTCAGACGTTTACCACTTCGGTGAAACCCACGAGCACGGGTATGGTGCTGATAAACCTAGAAACATAATCGGGGCGAACCGGGATTCGAACCCACAATCATAGGTTTCTGGCGTACCCAAGGGACGCAACTCTGCACAGCGAATCGCGGCGCCTTAGACGACTGGGCCCCCCATGCCCCCGAATATATGGTGATAACCATGGTGACCATAAACTGGCTGACCGTGGACAGTCTCACAGCGTCACTGTACAATATTCATTATACATACAATTTCAATAGATGTGGAATATTATTATAACCACATCGTTTTAACAATAACAGTTCAATGTCTAAACAGAAACGACTCATCAAAAAATAATAATTGGTTTGATCTTAACCTTACTATCATTCTCATAACGAGAAGTTATATCGCCATATCGACACATATATTATGCGGAATGTGACTACCACTATAGATATTACTTCTGTAATAACAATTCATAACACTTTTAATACATAGAGGATATTTCATGGTCGAGTGGCGTAGTAGTAGCCACTCGTGAAAATATCTCCTTTCCCCCCGTCACTCGGTGAGAGAAACATGATATTTCACTCGACACATGAAATATCCTATTTATTATATACTTTTGGTGTAGTTGTCTGCAGGAAGATTAAATTATTTCATTACAAATGTAAAACCTTCAAGCGTAAATTCTCCCTACATAACACACATGGACGGTTTTCCACCCCCTGTAAGTACGACTAAAAATGTAGTTCTGTCTTTGCTAAATCTTAAAAAATATAAACAAAAGTAACCAACAATATTTGATGTCACTAAAATTCTTTAGTATGCATTTGGATATGATTATATTCAAAATCAACTTCATCAAAAAATAAATTTCATATCAATGAGACGGCTGTTCGAAGCGAAAGAATACACGCAATTCAAGTAACAAAATGGCGCTTTGCGAAACGTAAAGTATCGACTGACAAATCAGAATAGAAATTCACAGTTTAATACAAATCATTTTCAACAAAATAACAAACGGTAAGAATCGGTATTAACTACATAAATGACCATCTGTCATTATATGACTTGTCAACGTTGAACTGACGTAAATCAACAGTTTGTGTACGAGCTGTCTCGTGTAGGCCAACATAGTTCCGTCAACGCGTTATGTTCACTGCAGTGAAATATCAGGTGTTATGTTAACTGCAGTGAAATATCAAGTGTTATGTTCACTGCAATGAAAATATCACTTTTCTCAACTTCAGAAAACTCAGTCTTTCACACTGAATAAAAATATATAAAAATATATATTCACCTGTAACAAACTCTAATACAAATATCACTTCTAATGTACCAACAATATTTCTACTATAATAATGTGTCAAATAATTAACAGTACCATATATAGTGGTTTGTAAGGTCTTGATGGTCACCTTTTAGATACTTGTAACTCCCCTTGAACGATTACTTTAGTCGCAATTAGACTATTTTTACTATTGTTTACATTTAGTTCCCTGATTCGACCGAACTGATCGTCAGTTATTTGCATTTAATTCGCGTCCCGGTCCGTGTCATATGTGTCTCTGGTGACGGGTTCACTGTCCCCGCCATTCCACTGAAACCCGTCCCAAAATGTCGAACTTTGGGGAGGGTAAAACAGGAGTATTTGTGCCGCTCTCGTTTGCATAAAGCTGCATTGTAGCGGAATTAGGAGGCTTTTTGTAACGTCTATTGCTGCCCTGGAGAGTTCCATTGGGGGGGATGCCCGGCCCAAATACAACCGGACCGGTTGCCGTGGTCGTACTAGCACCGACGTTGGCCTGAAATAATTAATAAACGTCCTAACGTCAAATCTATTTAGTGGGTGTTTGGGCGGACTGAGGGCTGGATTGTTTGTCAGGATAGGAGGAATTGCGTCCGACACCTTCCCGCAATTGAGTCCAAATGGTACTCGACAAACAGAGCACTGGTCTAAATTGAAGTTAAGGTCTAACGGCGGGGGAAAACGACTCTCCCACACCCCTCCTTGTGTCATGGCCGCGTTCATATCGACCCTAGGAGGGAGGTGTAGTTCTATAAATCGTCGGGGGTCTGGTGCCCCCGCGTAGGGCGTTACTGTACGGTAGGATATACCGGACAGTTTCAAAAGGGCGACAGCACATTCCGCATGCTGCACCCGACGGCACCATTTACAGAATGTTATTGGTGGGAAATTGGTTCATGAATCCGCAAACGGAAAAGTTTCATCCATGCAAAGGGCCCAACTTTTTAAACGTGCGGCAATTCGAATTGTGTTCCCCTGCAAGGGAACCTGGCCCTTGCGAATCTCAGACTTCCCACAGTTTTTGGTGCACTCGGTTTGGACAGTGTATACCCAATCGCGGTTCTGGGAATGTCCAGCAGCTGCCAGAATAACTGCGCGTAAGCTTGCAAGTCGGCTCCCATGTCCGTCTGAAGCTGCGTTAGCTGGAAAAGGATTGCCAAATCTAACGTGCCAATTGCAGTCTTGACCACCAGGTCTACCAAGACTGGTAGATCAAAGTATAACCGGTACATCGAAAGTACGGCTGCCCCTATATTCGGCGTGGAAGATATGTCCGTCAGAGAGGTCGGATATGCCGCTAGGGTGAGGGCCCGTCCTATGCGTTCGGTCAAATCAGGGGGGCTGGGTGTAAAAAGTATCGGGGGATGTAAGGTGAAGCGCGGACGCTTATATGTTTTGAATTTCCCATTAGCTAGATGGGTTGTGCCCCAGCGTTCACCCATATTAAAAATATATCCCGCTAAACACTTTAGAACGGGGGAGAGCTGGCATAATTTCCGCCCAATTTTCCCTGGAATGACAACAGGGGAGGTTGTTTTTCCGAATTCCTCGTCATGGGGAGTTACTACGTGTTCGACCAGGTGGTTCTCCATCACGTTATCAGATACGAGCAAATATAGGAATATATTATATAAGGTAATAGTGTTAATTAAATACATACATATATATATATATATATATATATATATATATATATATATATATATATATATATATATATATATATATATGGATGTAGTCTTACACTGAGGTATGGTTATACTTTGTTTTTTTGGCGTGAAGGTCAACTGAAAACCGATAATCTAAGTTCCAGGGGTAACACCCCTGTCGAACTTAATAGTGGTTGGCTGTAAATGGTAACACCGACTTGTACCGTCTAGTCGTAAATTCCAGGGGTAATACTCCTGTTGAACTGTATAGCAGTTGATTGTAATGAGAACACCAACCAGTGACGTTATGGATACCCATGGTTACCCGAGACTCGCTCATGTCTGGTATTGAGTGACCCCTCCATTGTGTGTGTGTGTTATGTGTCCATATAAAGGTGTAACTTGTGTGTGTTATGTGTCAATATGAATGTGTAATATATGATTGTCCTATATGCTTGTAAGGTGAGGTTGTGTGGGTGATCAGTGCCTCACGGCTTGTGAGAGAACCGTATTTCTGCGTATGGCAATTCCTATCGTGTAAGGCCTTTGAAGACTTTACATTCAAACATTTAACGCTGGATATAGTCCCCCCCCCCCCGACCTGGGTGGCTGTTGGCGGGTGCCTGGCATAAGAATTTGAGGGTCCAGTCGTGACGGGATATGTCCATAATAGCGGATAACCAACTACATAAAACAGTAGGTATCTACCCTGGAGGACATTATACAGCCGTGCAGCCACGTGCCGGGGAACCGTTACTACTACTGGAAGAGGGGTTTGGGTACCCGTAAGTGTGTTACTCAGGGACACGTTGCTCATGGGCCATGTGAGACATCAATCACACTTGGATACACAGATGCTCAGATGTACCCATGTCAAAGATGATAATATTGAAACATAAATACAGTAAACTACGGTTATAACGAACACAAAGGGACCACTAATTTTAGTTCGTTATAACCGTAGTTCGTTATAAGGATATATACAGCATATACACCGGAAATGGCCGGGGCAAAAAACTAGTTATAAGCGTGTTTGTAATAAACGTAGTTTATTGTTATTTTGCCTCATTCAAAACAAGTAATAATTTATTCACCGTTCACGTGGAATGCCCTGAAAAAAATGTTTGTTCCTCTACTGGCATCAGAGAAATCATGCATACTTTTGAGCAATGGCTGTCAAAAAAGATCCCTTTAAATCGAAACGTGACGAGAGCTACCGAAGATTACCAATCTTGAAATGCCACTTTTTTTTGTCTATTTTGTTTGTCTATATGTGCCACTCAAAAGAAGTTAAAGAACATCCGATTCTTTCATATGACGACAGTTAATCTGTAATGGCATGGCTAGTCTGATTAACTAGTTTGCATTGTCACATGAAAGAATCGACCCGTGATGATCCGTGTTATAGATCTTCAGCAACTCGAGTTTGCCGTAAAAGGCGACCATGCTTCTTGCAAAAGGCAGCTAACGGGATCGGGTGGTCAGACTCGCTGACTTGTTTGATACATGTTATCGTATACCAATTGCGTGGATCGATGCTCATGATGTCAATCACTGGATTATCTGGTCCAGACTGGATTATTTACAGACCGCCGTCATATAGCTGGAATATTGCTGAGTGCGTCGTTAAAACAACAAACATTCAATGCTGGAATATTGCTTGATGCGCCGTAAAACCATACTCACTCATCCGCTGAAGAGGGAAGATGTATTGAGACAATTGATGACAGACAAATGTGCCGTTACTATGACGATAACCCACTGACTGGTGTGTCAGTGTTGACGCGAAAGACACGTGCCCGTAATTAAAATATATAATATACATATGCCATGTACGAGGGTTGACTGATATTCTGAGCCTCACATAGTAGGAATTGCGTAATAGTGAATTTTGTTGTTGTGGACATAACATGATTACATAGAGGTATATCCACAAAAAATTGAGTTAACTGAGCAAATTGTTTCGCTGTGAAAAGTCATAAAAAGCACAACGTCTTTATAATTTCTTCATCCGAAAATTCTTAATTCCGAAAAATTGTTTATCCGGACGGATGTAAGAATGCGTATTCCACATTTAGAAGTTACTGATAGAGCAGGCAGAGCTATTGGTGTAAAATTCATTCAGTTTCCCACAAAAGGCAATGTGGAACGTCCCAGTGATGTTCCTGGTTCTTTCGTTGACGTCAGCGTTGCCGGAACACAAGCCGTCCTGGTTCAACTGGGGCTCACGTCCGCCCACCCAGGTCAGGTACACCTCGAACCAGCCGTTGTAGGTCTGGCTGCAGTTCATGCACACCTCCATGGAGTACACGTCGTCACCGAGGCTGCAGTGAATACAAAAGAGACGTTATTACGACAAAGTGGTGACTACGAGAGTATGGTGAATATGACAGAGGTGAATAGGACAGAGTGATGGATATGACAAGAGTGGCGAATGCGAAACAGGGGCGAATACGACGAGGTGGTGAATATGACAAGAGTCGCGAATGCGATACAGGGGCGAATACGACGAGGTGGTGAATATGACAAGAGTGGCGAATGCGATACAGGGGCGAATACGACGAGGTGGTCAATATGACAAAAGTGGCGAATACGATACAGGGGCGAATACGACGAGGTGGTCAATATGACACAAGTGGCGAATACGATACAGGGGCGAATACGACGAGGTGGTCAAAATAACAAGAGTGGCGAATGCGATACAGGGGCGAATACGACAAAGTGATGAATATGACAGAGCGGTGAATACGTCAAAGTGGTGAATACAAATGAAGTTACGTAAAGTTTATATTTGTGAGTGAGTTGGAAATTATTCGCCGTTTTTAGCAATATTTGATCAATATCACCCATGTGGGGGCCGCTTTAACCACAAGGCTTCCCCACCGCCCCTATAGGTTGTATAAAAAATAGTCTCTTAATTTAAAACGGGGTGAGTATAGGCTGGTGAATTCGAGAAGTATATGAGGGGTGGAATGGTATAGGTGAGATTGTTGCGTGAAACATGTGCCCTGTGGCCTATACACCATTATAAGGGTAACGCTATTTTTCAGGGCATTGTCATTTGCAGAAGCCTGAGGTCTTCCATTAACTGAAAAGACCGAGGGCTTCTGCAAATGATAATACCCTGAAAAATAGCGTTACCGTTATTATAGCTAAAATGGATGGAATGTTTTTATCAAATTTAAAGAAACAACAATATCGGGTTTGAAACATTTACTGCAATCAACGCGACCCACTATTACAAATATGGAAACGTCATAGAACAAACCAGATGGCGTCACTATTCAACGTGACGTCACCTATCCTATCCTATGACGTCACCTAACAACGGGCGTGATAATCGCCCGCACACTCCGTCGCAGTGGTGACTCAGCATAACACCACTGCCACAGGCTAATTTGCATATCACGTGACCGGACTTTTCTCTTGTTTGTAAACAAACGCGCTTTTTCAGAAATCAGTATAGAACGGACTAATGCAAGTATTTGGGGGCGCTTTACATATTGTTTTGCATAACTATATAGATATGCTACTACAACTGCGACAGTGAGTTGCATGACAATATATATCTATGCATCAAAGTGACCGTGTCGCTAGCTCTCCGTTGGGCTTCGATGACAGCACATGGAGCCGTACAACCAATGTAAACATAGGATAACTACGCAAAAACAAGTAGAATTTTACGTATTTGCATACTTTCTCAATGAAAGTTAACCATTCTTTGACATTTGTTTATGAAAATGTGTAGACTTGTCAAACATGAAACGGATGAAAAGCATATGCAATATCTTGAATGGACTGTGAAAGATGTGACGAATCGTCACATGGCGCTGGCCTGTGGCAGAGGTACTATGCTAGCTGGCTGCCGGCCGCATGGAACTCTGGGTAGGAGAGTGAATCGCCCGTCGTCAAGCAATAGGGGGGCATTATCAAATTACAGTGGCCCGCTCATTTCTTATAACATGCGGGCGGTTTAATGATAATTATATCCATTTTAACTATAATCATCTTTAAAGCGTTCGATCGACGTCCATCATTCGACTCAATGGTACTCCATGGTATCTTTGAAGCCTTTGAAGATTTATGCAAAATGTAAACGATACCGGCAATTGTTGATTAGTAACTCGGACCATGTGGTTAGGATAAATAGATTTGACTTACGTGTTGTAGAGGTAGTATTGCGGGCTGGCGATGTCTTTACTTGTCCTCACCGTCGGCGACCCAGCCGCCGAGACGTTGTTGTACTGGCCCTGGCCAACTTCCCCTCCATCGTAGTCGAGGAAGTCGTCGCCTACAGCCCAGGCGTTGTAGGCGTCGAAGTAGCGTCCAGTACCTAACTCGCGGTGGCTTATCTCGATTGTAGAAGGTACAGCTGAAGGAAGAAGTTTGATCATCAACATCATCATCATCGTCGTCGTCGACAACACCATCATCATCCTTATCATCATCGTCATCATCATCATCATCATCATCATCATCATCATCATCATCAACATCATCATCATCGTCGTCGTCGACACCATCATCATCCTTATGATCATCGTCATCATCATCATCATCATCATCATCGTTGTCGTCGTTATTATTATTATTATTATTATAATCGTGGTCTTATGTTTGGTTACTTAAATTCAATGAGCAGCAATGTTGGGTAAGCATACGAGGATTGTTCAAAAAGTTCTAAGCCTGACTAACTTTAGAGAAAGTACTCCCCAAGAAATACATGACCGCATGTGTCACATGTATATGGGGATAAGTGCCCAAGCTACTCTACTGTTAAACGTTGGGTTGCTGTGTTTTAGTCCCGGGAGAACAAGCCTTAATGATGACCCTAGATCTGGATGTCGCGCAACTTCCACCAATGAAGATTCAATCAAGGAGAAAGAAAAACTTATGCTGTCAAATAGACGTATTAACATTGCTGAACTTGAAGAAGACACAGGTCTAAGCCATGGATCGACTGAAACAATTATTCCTGAATATTTACAGATGAATAAAATATCGGTTCGTTGGGTGCCAAAGTTTCTAAATTCAAAGAGAGATTAATTACGGGTGATGAACATGGGTCTACCATTACGATCCCGAGTCAAAACGTCAATCCATGGAATGGCACCATTCAATTTCTCAGGCACCAAAGAAATTCAAGTCTTCAAGATCATTGAAGAATGTTATGGCCACTGTATTCTGGGTGCAAAGGGTGTGATCCTTGTTTATTGCTTAGAAAGTGACGATTACCGGTGCCTACTATGCTGATTTGCCTCATCGCCTGGGAGATTCTGTTAAACAATAGCGGCGAGGAATCCTGACTGCTGGAGTTCTACTAGTTCATGACAATGCCTCTTCTCACACCTCTCGACTTACAAAGGCTGCCTCACCCACCATACTCGCCAGACCTGGCACCAAGTGATTTCCATCCCTGTTTCTAAACTGAATAAACACCTTGAATGGGTTTTCTAGGGTGGCTTCAGAAAACTTCTTCCGGACTGGAATTTAAAAGCTTCACTTTCGATATGAGAAGATTATTGAAAAGCAAGGAGATTATGTTGAATGAGCAAGTACCTGTAGTGTAGTTGGCGGGAACCCCTCCCGATATGAACACTTCCGGGTCTGTAGAGTTGTACTGGATCAACACGACAGTCCTACTCATACCTGCAACAGTGAGTGAGTGAGTGAGTGAGTGAGTGAGTGAGCTAGTGAGTGAGTGAGTGAGTGAGTGAGTGAGTGAGTGAGTGAGTGAGTGCGTGCGTGCGTGCGTGCGTGCGTGCGTGCGTGCGTGCGTGCGGGTTTTAGATACACGGCGTGTCAGCTTAATCTAGGATGAAAGGTCTCTAGGTCTCAGACGTTTACCTTATAATAACAAAAGCAAAGGTATGGCGCTGACAAACATTGAAACATAATCGGGGCGATTCTGGTATTTAAGCCTTCCACCAGCGGACCCTGGATGCTTATGGTATGCGAAAGGGAATTGCTGCATCTTAGATCACTCGACCATGCGTACACCCATACTGCCAAGACATTGTAAAGACATTGGAAGGTTTTATTCAGAACACCTGCTTGAAATGTATCCAGCCCAAAATGCATTCTTTTTGAAAACATTCATATATTTAATATGTGTGTTTGTTGTTCAACGTCACACTCAGAATATTCCAGCTATGTGACGAAGCATGGACGACATGTAGTCTGGACCAGGAAACCAGTGATTGATATTATGAGCAACGTCCCACGCCGTCGGGGCACGATGACACGTAATTAAACAAGTGACCGACCAAAACCTAGGGACAAAGAAAGTCTACACAGTACAATGTATAGCATTGAAATATTTAACACACCGTAAACAACCTACCGGACGGGCATACCGGCGTAGTCGAGCTTGGCGTAGTCGATGTTGATGGTGTAGCTTGTGATTGGTTGGCGTTGTTGTTGGAGTCGGGAGGGTTGCTGTACAAAGGTCATAGATTGAGAACTCGAAACCATCGAAATAGTGAGAGACGGAAATGTTTTTAATTCCAGAAAATATCATGTAAGTAATCGTCTGGGCGGAAACAAACTAGTGGTTGATATTATGAGCAAGTGCCTCCTCCCGATCGACTTGGGATCCCTGCTGTCATTGACTTACGAGGGGCGTTCAATTTGTCTAAAGCGCCGCGATTCGCTGTGAAGAGTTGCATCCCTTGGGCATGCCAGAACCCTATGATTGTGGGTTCGAATTCCCGTTCGCCCCGATTATGCTTCTAGGTTTGTCAGCACCATACCCGTCCTCGTGGGTTTCACCGAAGTGGTAAACGTCTGAGACCTGCATCACTTCGGACTTTCCTCCCACATCAAGCTGACACGTCGTGATATAACTGGAATACTGTTAAAAGCGGCGTTAAACCAAACTCATGCACTCACTCACTCAATCACTCTTTTTGGACACTGAAATATACTACTTAAAAGACGCTAATAACCACCCGAATTTCAGGCCGCTGTGATATAGCTGAAATAGTGTTGATTACGAGGAATGACACGTCCTATTCTTTATACAGGGTCTTCCTGTTTGGCGTCACATAGTTTACAGACAATAAATACAATACCACGAATGCATTGCTTCCCGAATTATTATTAAGGTAGCGGAATAAACAAAGTTTATTCGGGTTCTGTACCGTCTGTTCCGAAACCAGACATGAACTTACAATTGGTTGATAGTACAGTTGTTGTTTCCAAATTCAAACACGTTGACCCGCCCGCAGTGGCCTACGTGGTACACGCTGCTGAATGGCCTTACGTCGGTCGCTTCGGCCGCTGTGCCACTACAGGTTGTGGGTTGGGCTATGGTGAAAGTCCGACTCTCCAGAAGTGTTGCGTTGGTGTAGCCTATTACCTCAAACCAACCCTGGATAGTACCAGTACAGTCCATACACACATCCATGGCCCAGTAGCCTTCGCCGAACCTTGATGAACAACCCGAAATACAGACATAAAATGTACATGTTTTGTTTGTTTGTTTGCTTGTTGTTTAACGCCGCACTCAGCAATATTACCGCTATACGACAGCGGTCTGTAAAAAATCGAGTCTGGACCAGACAATCCAGTGATTGACATCATGATCATCGATCCACGCAATTGGGATATCATGACATGCATCAACCAAGTCAGCGACCCTGACCACCCGATCCCATTAGTCGCCTCTTACGACAAGCATAGTCGCCTTTTCCGCCAAGCATGGGTTGCTGAAGACCTATTCTACCCCGGATCTTCACAGGTCACATGACCTGGGATTCTATCCCCAAAATAAATCGTCCCAGAAAATGTGTGAAAATAAATCCAACAACTCCACTCCCATCCCCCCATCCCCAACCCCGCCCCCATATCAAATGGCCGGCCCCTTACACTAGGTGGATAGTTAAATGAAAAGACTATTTTACTTATAGGTATTTTCACTTCGTTTGCACGTTCATACTTACGTGTTGTAAGAGAGGTAGTTAGGCTTCGTGTCGTCACTGGTTGTGAGAACAGCCGGGGACCCTTCCGCCACAGCTTTCGGAGCTTGTTTGTACTCGCCCTGTGTGGATTCGAACCCGTACCAGTCGAGGTAGTTATCACCCACTGCCCATGCGTTATATGCGTTAAAGCCACCGGATGAGACAAAGGTTCTGTGTTGAATGGAGACGCTACACGGGTTGGTGTTTCCGACCACGCTGAGACATCGGCCTGTGAAGCTTGTATGAGCTGGAAGGAAACACCGCCTTTGACTGATCAACTCTGTCATTACTCGTTAAAGATTCTAGCAATCAGACTGACCAGTCGCCGTCTTGTAAAAGCCGATACATGCTGCTTTTAACTGTATTCAGTATCACGGAGTGTCAGCTTTATAAGGGAGGAAAGCCCGAGGTGATGCAGGTCTTAGACGTTTACAACTTTGGTGAAACCAACGAAAAAGGGTATGGTGGTGACAAACCTAGAACTGGATATATGACCAGGGCGAACTGGATATATGAACCTACAATCATTTAGGTCTTTGAAAGGCATTTAGAAATGATGCATATAAGGAAGTGAATATATTGATGTCAACTTCTTTATTTTGAGGAACACAACGTTTCGGAGGAAATGCTTACTCCTTCATTCACTTGATGAAGGAGTAAGCATATACTCCGAAACGTTGTGTTCCTCATAATAAAGAAGTTGACATCCATACTTTCTCTTCCCTACGATCATTAGTTTTTGGCATCGTGTGGGACGCAGCTTTGTACAGCGAATTGCGGCGCCTTGGATCAATGGGCCCTAAATGTCCCGTTCTTCTTAAATGATATATTTTAATACGATAGAAATTTGTTCCGAATCGGGATATAATGTGTAGAGATCCCCAGATGAGATTTAAATCATGTTTTAGCTCGAAACACATCCTACATGTGACAAATACAGTACTTTAACACTATGTTAGTGATGACAGAGACCGTCACCCTGGTTTATTTATACAAGATCCAAGATGGCCGTCAAAATGGCGGATGACAAGAACTTTCCTACCGTTAACGACGCTTCCCGAGAGCCCTCCGCGGAAGAAAAGGTAGTCGTTGGCGTCGACGTTGGCTTTCATCAGAATGACGGTCCTGTTGAAACCTTGACGTCAGAATGAGTGAGTGAATGTTAGTTTACACAACGCTCAGAATTGTTACAGCTATATGATAACTGTCTGTTCATAAATTTAGGAGGAGTAGGCACTGCCAAACCTGGAAAAAGTTATTGAAACATTACTGTTTTTGTCCAACTGTAATTATGTAGATCCGTCATGCAACAACTGTTTATTTGTCTGTTGTTCCAGCAATAGGACGGCGGCCTGAAAATTATGGAATCTGGACCAGACAGTCCAGTGATTGATATTATGAACCCCATGAACCATGTCACAGAGCCTGACCACCCGACCCATTTTGGCCCTTCTTACGACAAGCTGCCGTCCCAGATGAATAACGATGTGTGTGTGTGTGTGTGTGTGTGTGTGTGTGTGTGTGTGTGTGTTTTCGTGTGTGTTTTCGTGTGTGTAGCGAACGAGCGGTGTTTGTTTGTTGTTTAACGCCGCACTTGGCATTTCAGCTACATGACCACGACCTGTAAATAATCGAGTCGCGAATTCATTGATTAATACCGGAGGCACAGAGTCTGACTATCCGATCCTCAAGTCGTCTCTTACGACCACCATGGGTTGTTAGGAAACGAATGAAACCCGGAATCCCTGCGGGATGGCCTTATTGTAGTTTTTGAAGTTCAAGGTGAATGTTTAATGTGTTTTTTTTAGATTCAACACCCATATTCAATGCCATGAGAAAAGACCTCATCCTCCGTGGTCTAGTGGTAGAGCGTCCGCCCGGAGAGCTGAAGGTCCGGGTTTCGATCCCCGGCCGCGTCATCCCAAAAGACGTTAAAAGATGGTACTTGTTGTTACCCCGTCTGGCACTCGGCATGAAGGGGCTAAAACAAGGACTGATCGGCTCAGAGTCAGTATACTGTGTCTGAGTGGGGTATTCGTGTTAACTGCGACATAGTATCACAGAGTGCTAACACTATAAACTCGGTATTATTCCGGACTAGTACAAGCAGCCACACACAAACGTGCATGCACGCCTTTATATAAGTGCAATAATCTTAGACGCGACGTTAAACTCCATTTCACCTCACCTCAACATGAAAAAAACGAAAAGAAAAATGTCGCCAGTCTAGCTACACTTGCTACAATGTTTTGACAAACGTCGCTATGCTTGTCTTTTGCTAACTGAACAACAAGCAAATATGAAATGATGTGTTATGACCAATATAATAACATTCGCAGACTTGCAGTGGACCTGCCGTCCATATGTACTGAACCGCAAAAGAAACGTCACCCCAAGTAACATTGCCTGAAGAGTTGTCATTTAAATATCTGGGTAATTTTTGTCAAAGTTTCTAAAATTTAACATTACCTTGTCCGGAAAAATGAAATTTCATGATAAAAAACAAAGCAGATGACAATAAAACCGATCGCCAAAACGCATCACGGTAACGGCCATGGTAACCTAGGACCCATTCTCACACAACGTCATCGCCGGGACCGTCTTCAGTGGGCAACACAGCACCACCATTGGCGTCACCAGCAGTGGAGAAGAGTCCTCTTCTCAGACAAGAGCCGTTACTGTATCTCAACAGCAGCTGACAGGGAAAGGCTGGCGACGCCGTGGGGAACGTTATTCGGATGCTTGTGTTGTTGAGAGAGGATAGTGGGGTGGTCCGAGCATCATGGTGTGGGGTGGAATTGGTCTTGCACAAAGGGTCGGCCCTGTAGTCTTCCAGAACATAGGTCCAGAGAAAGGCAAAGGTGTCACAGCAGCTCGGTACATTGATCAAGACTTGAGACCACAAGCCATACCTCAGATGCTTCTTAAATGGCGGTACGCGACAGCAGGCCCAAATATATGTTTCCAGGGCTTAAAAAGGTAGACCATTGAGCCGGCATGTATTTATGTGGTTTAATATGATTAAACCCCCAAAACTGAGAGCAGTTCACCTCATTGACATGTAAAATGTGACATCGATAAACGTTAAAGAAGCTAAACCGCCGGACAAAAGAAAATATACACACATGCTGGATGGTTGCTAAAATGAAAGAAATAAAAAAAAGTTATTCGATCGTAAGGTACTTGATACGGGTACCATAGTTTGGTTTTTGGACCTTAGGTATGCAGTGTATCGACGGTCTATTATCAACATAGTATGGTTTTGATAACGGTTGTATTTTTTTTAGTCAAATCCAGTGTCCAGTGCATTCCTTTCTTGCTCGGCAGTCTACATTCGAAATTCAATGAACTCTTAATGAGTAGTACTACTCGAGACGTCGATCAACCAACCACGAACAAGGACTCCGTAGGTTATACTGATGTCCGGAGATAGAGTGAGTGAGTTTGGTTTTACGCCGCTTTTAGCAATATCTGGAAATAGAACATATCCCACCCCATTTCCTCAAACCTCCAGAAAAAGTTACGAGTCGAATGAAGTTGGCAGCTGGAATACTTAGAAACTGTTACTGAGGAAGTCTTTCGCGCACAAAATTGCGCTAACCTGCCAAAATGGCGGAAATACTGACCACCTAGCTATTTGATGTTTTCGGAAGATATGTAAACAAATACCTACCATTGGTACATTCAAAATACGGGGTTGTGGTCGGTAGCGGCGTAGTTGTGGTTGTTACAGCTGGCGTTGTGCTGGTGAGGTTCTCGGTAAAGTCATTGGTGGTAGCTGTTTGGGAAATATCTCCCTTCGTCGTACTTTCACTATAACCGCCTTCAGTTGTTGGAGCATCTGATATGGTATCGGTGCTATCAACATTTGTTGGATCATTTGTTGTAGAGTTGTCTCCATTTGTTGTTTGCAAATCGTTTCCCTCAGCGGTTGTTTCTCCTGTAACCTCAACGGTTGTTGTTCCGGAATAATTAGCGGTATCTGCTGTCGTGCCGCTAGAGTTATCGCCCTTCGTATTGCCAGTAGTGGTTACTTGCGGATCTGTGGTTGTTCCGGTAACGTCGACTCTTAGAGGCGGGGTTGTTGTCACATTGGTTTCAGCTGTTTGTGCGACGGCTTCGTTGTTCCGAACTTGGAGAAAGAAAATCAGACGTACGGAGTGAGTGAATGCCTGATTGTTCTGGTATTTTGAGAAGATAAAATAGAATATTTATGTCTCCTGATTTTTTTCAAAACTACTTGATGGGGAGGGATGATTTTTATTTGTTTCTTCAGATTGTTACAAATTAATGAAAGTAAACTTGATTCTAAAGTACCATTTAACCTCCTTGGTCCCCTTGTGAATCTGACACACTGCGAATGGTTAAGCGAGTGCGAAAAGTTAGAATCGGGGCAAAAGCGAAATTTGAGTTGAAAAGGTCATGTCTGTAAAGTGGCCAAAACGTCTCCCCTTAAATGGTGGGAAAAATTAAAGTGTCCTCTAAATCGGTTACTGAACATGATGGATGTTCTGAAAAAGAATGTGGGTAAAGAACATGTCTCCATATCGTGAAAGCAAGTGTGCGGTTTGAATGAACATTCGTGAAAATGTTTTACAGTGGAATGTTCATGTCTATGTCAGTAGTCCTAACGTAGATCCAGTATTTCAGCGAAAATGTCAATTATTTGAATTACTTTACCCGAATTATGTGCTTGCATTTTTGTATTTTAAATTATGACCACCACTACTTTTCCCAAAAGAACTGTGTGCACCCCGCCCTACCAAAAACCTGTGTGAACCCCACGTTTCCACACAAGAAATGTGTGCACCCTGCCATTTAAACTGTGTGTCCACAGATAATCCAGTAATTGACATCATGAACATCGATCTACGTAATAGGGATACGGTGACATGCATCAGCCAAGTCAGTGAGCCTGACCACCCGATCCCGTTAGTCGCCTCCAACCGCAAGAGAAGGAGACTGCTTGGGGTATTGTGGTCGTTGGTTCCATAGAGCGGATGGTCATTGATCTGGAATGATATCTGACCACGCGACCTCAGAATAAAAGGAATATATCTTTCATCATGTTATCAACATTATGCTTGATTGTTCATTTATCACCATAATGTTTAATTGTTCATACATCATCATAATGTTTAATTGTTCATACATCACCATAAAAATGTTTAATTGTTCATATATCATCATAATGTTTCATTGTTTAATTATTTACCATCATAATGTTCAGTTGTTCATATATCATCATAATGTTTAATTGTTCATATATCACCATAATGTTTAATTGTTCATATATCATCATATTTTTCATTTTATATTTACCACCATAATGTTTAGTTGTTCATATATCATCATAATGTTTAATTGTTCATATATCATCATAATGTTTAATTGTTCATATATCATCATATGTTTCATTGATTATTTACCATCATGAGGTTTAGTTGTTCATATATCACCATAATGTTTAATTTTTCATATATCATCATATGTTTCATTGTTTATTTACCATCATAAGGTTTAGTTGTTCATATATCATAATAATGTTAAATCGTTATATATCATCATATGTTTCATTGTTTAATTTTTTAACATCATAAGGTTTAGTTGTTCATATATCATCATAATGTTAAATTGTTCATATACCATCATAATGTTTAGTTGTTCATATATCATCATAATCTTTAATTGTTCATATATCACCATAATCTTTAATTGTTCATATATCATCATATGTTTCATTGTTTATTTACCATCATAAGGTTAAGTTGTTCATATATCACCATAATCTTTAATTGTTTATATATCATCATATGTTTCATTGTTTATTTACCATCATAAGGTTAAGTTGTTCATATATCATCATAATGTTTAATTGTTTTATATATCATCATATGTTTCATTGTTTATTTACCATCATAAGGTTAAGTTGTTCATATATCCCCATAATGTTTAATTGTTTTATATATCATCATATGTTTCATTGTTTATTTACCATCATAAGGTTTAGTTGTTCATATATCATCATAATGTTTAATTGTTCATATATCACCATTATGTTTAATTTTTCATATATCATCATATGTTTCATTGTTTATTTACCATCATGATGTTTAGTTGCTTATTTACCATAATAATGTTTAGTTGTTCATATATCATTATAATGTTTAATTGTTCATACATGATCACAATGTTTTATTGTAATTATAACACCTTATGTTTCATTGTTTATTTACGTTTAATTGTTCATATACCACTAGAATGTTAATTGTTCATATACCACCAGTACATTAAATTGTTCATATACCACCATTATGTTTGATTGTTCATATTTCACCAGAATGTTAATTGTTCATATACCACCATAATGTTTAATTGTTCATATAACGTCATACCGTTTAATTGTTCATACATCAGCATAAGAGTAATTGTTCATATACCACAATAATGTTAATTATTCATATAAAAAGGTAGTATCTACCCGAGTATAAAACTTACGAGCCAGTGGAACTGCTATTGCGACGATGACGCCAACGGTTACCACGGAAACTGTTACTATGGAAATCTTAACAATGACAGAACACCCTCCGGCCTTGACCCCTACAATAAAATAACTGTGTTGTAACTTAATTCACTTATATAATTTAAACAAACAAAACAACAGCCTATAGGCATTGATTTATCTTCAAAAGGAATAAATCTATCAAAGTTTATCAGAACAAAAACAAACAAACAATGCAGGTTTGAATATGTTTGTTTGTTGTTTAACGCCGCAAGCAGCAATATTCCAGCTATGTGACGGCGGTCTGTAAATAATCGAGTCTGGACCAGAAAATCCAGTGATTGTCAGCATGAGCATAGATCCACGCAATTGGGATGGATGACTTGCATCAACAAAGTCAGCAAGCCTGACCACCCGATCCCGTTAGTCGACTTTTACGACAAGCATAGTCGCCTTTTACGGCAAGCATGGTCGCCTCTTACGACAAGCATAGTCGCCGTTTACGGCCCAGGTTTGAATAAACACTTAACGTCGAAATGTAGCGAGGAGTCTTTTTTAACTCACCTGTTGCGGACATGACTTCAACTCGGACAGTTTCAGAATGAACGCTATACGGTTTATGGTCTACATTCGACAACAAGACTTGAAATAAACCTTAGTAATAAGTCGTGACTGGAAGTCACCAAATATTATTTGAGAACAGGGCCGACACAAGGAACACGCACTACCGTGAAGGGTGTACGGAGGTATCATTTCTCCTATCTCAACCATCTGTTTACCCAGGGTTTAGCAGAAGGGGGTCTTCCACGTACTCAATGGCAGTGGTATACGATCGGATTTAATATCTTATCACTGACTCTAAAATCGTCTCTATTATTAATTTTCTGTTGCATGCTAATTTCGTTTCCAAATCCGAATTTTTAGAGTTATTTTTCATTCCGAAGTTGCACTTTTCGATATACTCCTACCTCAACCATCTGTTTACCCAGGGTTTAGCAGAAGGGGGTCTTCCACGTACTCAATGGCAGTGGTATACGATCGGATTTAATATCTTATCACTGACTCTAAAATCGTCTCTATTATTAATTTTCTGTTGCATGCTAATTTCGTTTCCAAATCCGAATTTTTAGAGTTATTTTTCATTCCGAAGTTGCACTTTTCGATATACTCCTACCTCAACCATCTGTTTACCCAGGGTTTAGCAGAAGGGGGTCTTCCACGTACTCAATGGCAGTGGTATACGATCGGATTTAATATCTTATCACTGACTCTAAAATCGTCTCTATTATTAATTTTCCGTTGCATGCTTATTCCGTTTCCAGATCCGAATTTTAAGAGTTATTTTTCATTCCGAAGTTGCACTTTTCGATATACTCCTACCTCAACCATCTGTTTACCCAGGGTTTAGCAGAAGGGGGTCTTCCACGTACTCAATGGCAGTGGTATACGATCGGATTTAATATCTTATCACTGCCTCTAAAATCGTCTTTATTATTAATTTTCTGTTGCATGCTAATTCTGTTTCCAGATCTGAATTTTTAATGTTATTTTTCATTCCGAAGTTTGACTTTTCGATATACTCCTACCTCAACCATCTGTTTACCCAGGGTTTAGCAGAAGGGGGTCTTCCACGTACTAAATGGCAGTGGTATACGATCGGATTTAATATCTTATCACTGCCTCTAAAATCGTCTCTATTATTGATTTTCTGTTGCATGCTAATTCCGTTTCCAGATCCGAATTTTTAAAGTTATTTTTCATTCCGAAGTTGCACTTTTCGATAAAACCGGTCCTGACCACCAGCAATGTCCTTTCGTTTTTGTGCAACGTCAAATGTTTTTATTACAAAAATGATTGAGACTTCAAGCTGGGATCTGTAATTAAGACCATTGACAGGTTAAGAGTTTTTGTTGCCTGCGAGCTTATTTGGGTGAGGTGAGGTAAAATCGCGTTCAAGATTATTGCACTTATATAGCGACGTACATTCACTTTTTTAGCCCCTAATGTCGATCGCCAGGCAGGGTAACAACAAGTACCATCTTTTAAAATCTTTTGGTATGACGCTGCCGGGGATCGAACCCAAGACCTTCCGCTCTCCGGGTTGATTATTTGATGTCTTTATATGAAGGATAATGTAGGGCAAACAGTTGGATGGGCTCTGTTAAAAACATCCTTTGGAAAGGGTAATACATTTAGGATTAAATTTATAATTTGACCAAAAATGTTCCTTGAGACGTCACCTGTCATGAGATGCTTACTGATAGGTGCACGTAATATTACCTTTCAAACCCGTATCAAATACACCACCATAGAAAAAAACATATTTTGTTCGTTCATTATTTAGCCAACATCAAACATAGATGTGTACTTTCTTTTGTCCGGAGTCGCGGGTGGCCCAGTCGTCTGAGGCGCCGCGATTCGCTGTGCGGAGTTGCGTCCCTTGGGCACGTCAGAAACCTATGATTGTGGGTTCGAATCCCGGTTCGCCCCGATTATGTTTCTAGGTTTGTCAGCACCATACCCGTGCTCGTGGGTTTTTACGAAGTGGTAAACGTCTGAGACCTGCATCACTTCGGGCTTTCCTCCCACATTAAGCTGACACGCCGTGATATAACTGGAATACTGTAAAAAGCGGCGTTGAACCCAACTCACTCACTCAGTTTTGTCCGGTTGTCCACTTTATCATTTAAATATACTGGCGCAATATATATTTCGATATAAATCGCAATATGTTTTAATGTGGCCTAAGATTCAGTGTAGACACTAGAAGCCACGGCAGCATAACTCCACACCGGGGGATGAGTGGTCGGGACAATCGCGGCAAGGTTTTTCGCCTACAGACAAGTGTGCCTGAGTGAAGTGGGCTAATAATCCTGTTTGTTCACAGATTATTTAACCCTGGAATACGATAAACGTGTTACTCAATTGATGGCCGATTGTGCAATTTCTGTTATGAAATGAGGCCTGTGTAGGCAAGTAAACTGCCGGGCAAAAGAAAGTATACACTTGAAAATCGGATTTGATCATTTTTTTATAGAAATGTTATCAATACGTTACCAGGCTTAAAAAAGTCGCCGAAACACTGCAAACGAAAGGCCCTAAAACAAATATGACTCCTGTTTCAAACACATCACCATCGAAAAACCATTTCTTGTTTGTTTCAGTTTTAGCCACCATGAAACATAGGTGTCTATATATCTTCTTTTGTTCCGCAGTTTATTAATATCCTGTTTTTAATACATTTCAGGCATATCATTTTTTTCCACACAGAGGCAACCTCTCGGAACAGCATTCCATAAAACATACGATGAAATTTTCGTTGGCCTACTACCTTTATTATTGATGAATTAAAGAATAATAAAGAAAGGTTTAAAAGATGAAAAAATATACCCGATGGCAGTAGAAGATTTGAACACCATTTGCCCAGTGCTCAACTTTTTTTCCCCATTCACAAATCAAAACAGAGTTACTTCCCTTGGAGCATTCCTCGTCCATGGTTTCGCAGTGGTAATGTAACGAACGCTCGGAAGCTGTTCCCGTTTCAGCTGATGTAAGTATGCCCTGGCGATTTTTTAAGCAACTATGCAGTTGTAATTCATGTAACACAATCTGTGACCCCCAAACATGTTCGAGTGAACCGCTATGCCTCCCTGCAGCGTTGCTGGTGAATTCATACTTTGAGACTGGATAGTTAACGAAAGCGCTCATAAAATCTTCCGATTTCAATCTGCGACTTTACGAAATATGCGCATTTAGTCTATTACGCATCTGAAAGTGTGATCCTATCATATATGCCCATGCCCCTTAATAGGCAAGGGATCAGTCCCCATGTTCAGTGAAGCATAAATCAATTAAAGCTCTCACCCGCAATCCCCTAACACGCGATTGAAACCTTGTATCCGTTCTTTATCGGGTGAAAAATGATGATTAACGCTTTTCTTTTTTAACTGAAACGCAAATCCCCTGGAAAGTTGATTTTGAACTGGACTTCACTCATTGTACATTTAGCCCGTATAGTGAGTCGAATACTGAGGAAGTGTATTAAGATTCATGCACGCACGCACGCACGCACGCACGCACACATGCATACAGAAAAAGTGATGGGGATAGGTGTGATAACGGAGATCAGACTGTGTTAACAAAATGACAACCACGACGTCCAGCTGCAGGTGAGGTGATGTGAAATGGGGTTAACGTCGCGGCCAAGATTATTGTACTTATATAGCGACGTGCATGTACGTGTGTGTGTTTGTGTGGCTGCTTGTACTAGTCCGGACTGATGCCGATTTATAGTGCTAGCTCACTGAGATACCATACCGCAGTTTAACATGAATACCCCACTCAGACACAGTATACTGACTCCGAGCCGACCAGTCCTTGTTTTATCCCCTAAATGCCGAGCGCCAGACAGGGTAACAACAAGTACCATCTTTTAACGTCTTTTGGTCCAGCTGCAGGTAGGCTAGTAGTTGAAGACAAAGGCTCCGTGTGTAAAAAAACATTGGTTCGAATCCCATTTGTGTTGTTGTCATTAAGAGATAAATATGTTTATAAATTTTGAATTTTTTCTCCGGACAAATAAAATGTCCAAGAATATTCTTCTTCCATCAGACTGTTTAAAACAAAGAAATTGTCTGCCACAAGACTTACATTGTTGCATGGCGTTTTTCCTTAAAAATATTCAGACGCATAAATTTAATTATGGTTTTGCAGCTGCAACTGAAAAAATTATCTTATCTCCATACAACATCTCAGGCATATCCTCCTGCGTCTGCAGAAAAAAAACTGTACATGATGATAATTATTTTGTGTGTGTATTTTCCAGATTCCAAGTATGAGTTCCGACGAGGAGGTGTTGCATCCCCCTCGGAATTTCCTCCCCCTCCGATCCATGATAAAGAGGGGAGAAGAAGAAGAGGCGTATAAATATATGACGGACAACAATTTGACAGCGGACTCTTTTGCGAGGAGGGTGAAATCCGGCGAGCGGAATGATATATTTTGTCCAGTTTGCATAGCCGCTCAGTCAGGACATCTAAGCATAATGAAAACTTTAATTTCAATGGGATTTTCCTATCAGAGTGCAAGTCCAAGTGATCTTGTGTTACATATGGCTCCTGTTCACTTGGCCTCATACGGCGGCCATCTTGCTGTGGTGAAATCCCTCATAGAAGAGCATGGCATCGACGTCAACACTCGCGATGGGTACGACAACACCCCGATCTACTGGGCTATCAATACCCTGGACGCTAACCTTGACCTTGTCACGTATCTCATAACAGCTGGAGCACCTGTAAATATGAAAAATGAAATTGATAAATCATCCTTGCTCCACACGAGCGTGAAGTATGGCAATGCGGATGTGTGTACGTATCTGTTAGCGCAGGGAGCTGACGTAACAGCACGTGATCATAACGGGTGCACGCCTCTACACATTGCCTCGGTGTGGGGTGACGAGAGTTCAGCACGTGCATTGCTTGACGCAGGAGCTGATGTGCACGCGCGTAACAGGTCTCGCGAGACCCCGATTCTTGTGGCGGCGAAACACGGGATTTGGCCGCTGATGAAAATGTTGTATTCGCGCGGGGCCGACCCCGATGATAACGACAACACAGGGAACACGGTTCTCCATTATGCAGTTTCCAAACAGTCATACGAAACAGTTTACTACCTGACTGTACTTCTAAATGTTGAGTTGAACACGACAAGCTTGAAAAACGCAACACCATTTTGGTCTGCTGTTTCGTCATGTAATTTGGACATCGCCAGATTGTTAGTGGACTCTGGTTTTAAGCCAAGTCTGCCCGTTGGTGAGGACGGTCGCATTGTGTTTTCCTTTGCCCACATGGACAATGACAGCAATGAGTTGTTGGTGTCGTACGTAAAGGAGGTTGCCACAACACCCCGGTCGCTGCAGGATCTGTGTACATTCAGAGTGAGGAGGGCCCTAGGGCCTCAACTGAGCACAGCAGTTACGTCCCTTCCCCTACCTGGGATTGTTAGAGACGTTGTCAGATTGTGTCGTATCCCCGACACTGTGTGAACCATATCCCCAACACTGTGTGAACCATATCCCCGACACTGTGTGAACCGTATCCCCAACACTGTGTGAACCGTATCCCCGACACTGTGTGAACCATATCCCCAACACTGTGTGAACCATATCCCCGACACTGTGTGAACCATATCCCCGACACTGTGTGAACCATATCCCCAACACTGTGTGAACCGTATCCCCGACACTGTGTGAACCGTATCCCCAACACTGTGTGAACTATATCCCCAACACTGTGTGAACCATATCCCCAACACTGTGTGAACCATATCCCCGACACTGTGTGAACCGTATCCCCAACACTGTGTGAACCATATCCCCGACACTGTGTGAACCATATCCCCGACACTGTGTGAACCATATCCCCGACACTGTGTGAACCATATCCCCGACACTGTGTGAGCCGTATCCCCGACACTGTGTGAACCGTATCCCCGACACTGTGTGAACTATATCCCCGACACTGTGTGAACCGTATCCCCAACACTGTGTGAACTATATCCCCGACACTGTGTGAACCATATCCCCGACACTGTGTGAACTATATCCCCGACACTGTGTGAACCGTATCCCCGACACTGTGTGAACTATATCCCCGACACTGTGTGAACCATATCCCCAACACTGTGTGAACCGTATCCCCGACACTGTGTGAACCATATCCCCAACACTGTGTGAACCATATCCCCGACACTGTGTGAACCATATCCCCAACACTGTGTGAACCATATCCCCAACACTGTGTGAACCATATCCCCGACACTGTGTGAACCATATCCCCGACACTGTGTGAACCATATCCCCGACACTGTGTGAACCATATCCCCGACACTGTGTGAACCATATCCCCGACACTGTGTGAACCATATCCCCGACACTGTGTGAACCATATCCCCGACACTGTGTGAACCATATCCCCAACACTGTGTGAACCGTATCCCCAACACTGTGTGAACCATATCCCCGACACTGTGTGAACCATATCCCCGACACTGTGTGAACCATATCCCCAACACTGTGTGAACCGTATCCCCAACACTGTGTGAACCATATCCCCGACACTGTGTGAACCATATCCCCGCCACTGTGTGAACCATATCCCCGACACTGTGTGAACCGTATCCCCAACACTGTGTGAACCATATCCCCAACACTGTGTGAACCATATCCCCAACACTGTGTGAACCGTATCCCCAACACTGTGTGAGCCGTATCCCCGACACTGTGTGAACCATATCCCCGACACTGTGTGAACCATATCCCCGACACTGTGTGAACCATATCCCCGACACTGTGTGAACCATATCCCCGACACTGTGTGAACCATATCCCCGCCACTGTGTGAACCATATCCCCGACACTGTGTGAACCATATCCCCGACACTGTGTGAACCATATCCCCGACACTGTGTGAACCATATCCCCGACACTGTGTGAACCATATCCCCAACACTGTGTGAACCGTATCCCCGCCACAGTGTGAACCGTATCCCCGACACTGTGTGAACCATATCCCCAACACTGTGTGAACCATATCCCCAACACTGTGTGAACCATATCCCCGACACTGTGTGAACCATATCCCCGACACTGTGTGAACCATATCCCCGCCACAGTGTGAGCCGTATCCCCGCCACTGTGTGAACCATATCCCCGCCACTGTGTGAACCATATCCCCGCCACTGTGTGAACCATATCCCCGACACTGTGTGAACCATATCCCCGACACTGTGTGAACCATATCCCCGCCACTGTGTGAACCGTATCCCCGCCACTGTGTGAACCATATCCCCGACACTGTGTGAACCATATCCCCGCCACTGTGTGAACCATATCCCCGACACTGTGTGAACCATATCCCCGCCACTGTGTGAACCATATCCCCGCCACTGTGTGAACCGTATCCCCGCCACTGTGTGAACCATATCCCCGACACTGTGTGAACCGTATCCCCGCCACTGTGTGAACCATATCCCCGACACTGTGTGAACCATATCCCCGCCACTGTGTGAACCATATCCCCGCCACTGTGTGAACCATATCCCCGCCACTGTGTGAACCGTATCCCCGCCACTGTGTGAACCGTATCCCCGACACTGTGTGAACCATATCCCCGACACTGTGTGAACCATATCCCCGCCACTGTGTGAACCGTATCCCCGCCACTGTGTGAACCGTATCCCCGACACTGTGTGAACCGTATCCCCGCCACAGTGTGAACTATATCCCCAACACTGTGTGAACCATATCCCCGACACTGTGTGAACCATATCCCCGCCACTGTGTGAACCGTATCCCCGCCACTGTGTGAACCGTATCCCCGACACTGTGTGAACCATATCCCCGACACTGTGTGAACCATATCCCCGCCACTGTGTGAACCGTATCCCCGCCACTGTGTGAACCGTATCCCCGACACTGTGTGAACCGTATCCCCGCCACAGTGTGAACTATATCCCCAACACTGTGTGAACCGTATCCCCGCCACAGTGTGAACCATATCCCCAACACTGTGTGAACCATATCCCCGACACTGTGTGAACCATATCCCCGCCACTGTGTGAACCATATCCCCGCCACAGTGTGAACCGTATCCCCGACACTGTGTGAACCGTATCCCCAACACTGTGTGAGCCATATCCCCGACACTGTGTGAACCGTATCCCCGCCACTGTGTGAACCATATCCCCGACACTGTGTGAACCATATCCCCAACACTGTGTGAACCGTATCCCCGACACTGTGTGAACCGTATCCCCGACACTGTGTGAACCATATCCCCGCCACTGTGTGAACCATATCCCCGACACTGTGTGAACCGTATCCCCGACACTGTGTGAACCATATCCCCGACACTGTGTGAACCGTATCCCCGCCACAGTGTGAGCCGTATCCCCGACACTGTGTGAACCATATCCCCGCCACTGTGTGAACCATATCCCCAACACTGTGTGAACCATATCCCCGCCACTGTGTGAACCATATCCCCAACACTGTGTGAACCATATCCCCGCCACTGTGTGAACCATATCCCCAACACTGTGTGAACCATATCCCCGCCACTGTGTGAACCATATCCCCAACACTGTGTGAACCATATCCCCAACACTGTGTGAACCATATCCCCAACACTGTGTGAACCATATCCCCGCCACTGTGTGAACCATATCCCCAACACTGTGTGAACCATATCCCCAACACTGTGTGAACCATATCCCCAACACTGTGTGAACCATATCCCCAACACTGTGTGAACCATATCCCCAACACTGTGTGAACCATATCCCCAACACTGTGTGAGCCATATCCCCGACACTGTGTGAGCCATATCCCCGACACTGTGTGAGCCATATCCCCGACAACATCTGAGCCATATCCCCGACACTGTGTGAACCATATCCCCAACACTGTGTGAACCGTATCCCCGACACAGTGTGAACCATATCCCCGACACTGTGTGAGCCATATCCCCGACAACATCTGAGCCATATCCCCGACACTGTGTGAACCATATCCCCAACACTGTGTGAACCGTATCCCCGACACTGTGTGAACCATATCCCCAACACTGTGTGAACCATATCCCCAACACTGTGTGAACCATATCCCCAACACTGTGTGAACTATATCCCCGCCACTGTGTGAACCATATCCCCGACACTGTGTGAACCATATCCCCGACACTGTGTGAACCATATCCCCGCCACAGTGTGAGCCGTATCCCCGCCACAGTGTGAACCATATCCCCAACACTGTGTGAACTATATCCCCGACACTGTGTGAACCATATCCCCAACACTGTGTGAACCGTATCCCCGCCACAGTGTGAGCCGTATCCCCGACACTGTGTGAACTGTATCCCCGCCACAGTGTGAACCATATCCCCAACACTGTGTGAACCGTGTCCCCGCCACAGTGTGAGCCGTATCCCCGCCACTGTGTGAACCATATCCCCGACAGTATCTGAACCATATCCCCAACACTGTGTGAACCATATCCCCAACACTGTGTGAACCATATCCCCAACACTGTGTGAACCATATCCCCAACACTGTGTGAACCGTGTCCCCGCCACAGTGTGAGCCGTATCCCCGACACTGTGTGAACCGTATCCCCAACACTGTGTGAACCATATCCCCAACACTGTGTGAACCGTATCCCCGCCACAGTGTGAGCCGTATCCCCGACACTGTGTGAACCGTATCCCCGCCACAGTGTGAGCCGTATCCCCGACACTGTGTGAACTATATCCCCGACAGTATCTGAGCCATATCCCCGACACTGTGTGCACCGTATCCCCGCCACAGTGTGAGCCATATCCCCGACACTGTGTGAACCATATCCTCGACAGTATCTGAGCCATATCCCCGCCACTGTGTGAGCCGTATCCCCGACACTGTGTGAGCCGTATCCACGACAGTATCTGAGCCATATCCCCGACACTGTGTGAGCCATATCCCCGCCACTGTGTGAGCCGTATCCCCGACACTGTGTGAGCCGTATCCACGACAGTATCTGAGCCATATCCCCGACACTGTGTGAACCGTATCCACAACAGTATCTGAGCCATTTCCCCGACAGTGTGTGAGCCACATCCCCGACAGTGTGTGAGCCATATCCCCGCCACTGTGTGAGCCATATCCCCGCCACTATGTGAGCCATATCCCCGACAGTGTGTGAGCCATATCCCCGACAGTGTGTGAGCCATATCCCCGACAGTGTGTGAGCCATATCCCCGACAGTATGTGAACCATATCCCCGACAGTGTGTGAGCCATATCCCCGACAGTGTGTGAGCCATATTCCCGACAGTGTGTGAGCCATATCCCCGACAGTGTGTGAGCCATATCCCCGACAGTGTGTGAGCCATATCCCCGCCACTGTGTGAGCCATATCCCCGCCACTATGTGAGCCATATCCCCGCCACTGTGTGAGCCATATCCCCGACAGTGTGTGAGCCATATTCCCGACAGTGTGTGAGCCATATCCCCGCCAGTGTGTGAGCCATATCCCCGACAGTGTGTGAGCCATATCCCCGCCACTATGTGAGCCATATCCCCGCCACTATGTGAGCCTTATCCCCGACAGTGTGTGAGCCATATCTCCGCCACTATGTGAGCCATATCCCCGCCACTGTGTGAGCCATATCCCCGACAGTGTGTGAGCCATATCCCCGCCACTATGTGAACCTTATCCACGACACTGTGTGAAGCGTTACCCCGACACTGTCTGATCTGTATCCATGACACTGTGTAAACAGTTTCCCCGACACTGTCTGAGCCTTAACCCCGACACTGGATGGGCCATATTCCAGACACTGTGTGAACCGCATCCCCGACACTGTCTGATCTGTATCCATGACACTGTGTGAAGTGAACAGTTTCCCCGACGCTGTCCGAGTTTTAACCCCAACACTAGATGGGCCATATTCCAGACACTGTGTGAACCGCATCCCCGACATTGACTGATCGACACTGGATGGACACTGTGTCAACCGCATCCCCGACACTGTCCGAGTTTTATCTCCGACACTGGATGGACACTGTGTGAACCGCATCCCCGACACTTTCCGAGCCTTATACCCGACACTGTCCGAGTTTTAACCCCGACACTGTGTAAAGCGTTTCTCTGACACTGTCTGATCGGTATCCATGACACTGTCTGAACCGCATCCCCGACACTGTCCGAGTTTTAACCCCGACACTGGATGGACACTGTGTGAACCGCATCCCCGACACTGTCCGAGTTTTAACCCCGACACTGTGTAAAGCGTTTCCCTGACACTGTCTCATCTGTTTCCATGACACTGTCTTTTTCTTTTTAAAAAAATTATTTTATTTCTTTTTAGAGTAGACAAACAATATGTTTACATAATATAGTTCAAATGCTATCTTAAATACATACAAGTTACAAAGTATATCTATAGATGATAACAAAAAAAACCTATTCCAGTGTCATATTGATGGATTGTGCAAGTTCGTGGTTTTAAACGAATAGGTGGTGACAGAGAGAACAAAATGTCAAAATCGGTTATTTCTTGTTTGATGTGTGGGAAATTTGGTATGGAGTCGGAAATGTTTGATTTGAATATGTTTTGCTTTGTTACAGTTAGAAAATGATTTAATACATCATTTCGTTTTTGTTGATATCCTAATAAAATTGTCAATTTTGAAAATTCTAGTGCTATTCCAGTTTTGTCTTTGGCACATTACTCTGTAAAACGAATTTGTGACGCCTTAGAGCAATTGCCCATCGGCCCCTTGATTAAGAGTATGCAGGATGTTGTTTTGAGTGTTGGGTATCACCACCAGCGTTGACACCATGAGTGTGATAAATATGTCCTCAACATGTACCATCAGTGCAGAATCCAGTGACAATATGTATCAGCACCATCTTTTAACGTCTTTTGGTATGACGCGGCCGGGGATCGAACCCCGGACCTTCCGCTCTCCGGGCGGACGCTCATCCACTAGAATTCCAACACTGAAAGATCCTGTGACAATTTCTACTATCAGTTTAGGATCTCGTGACAATATGTACCTCGTATGTAGGATCTCGTGGCAGTATGTACAACAGTGTAGGATACCGTGACTATATGTAGCACTTGTGTACGATCGCGTGACAGTATGTACTACTGTGTAGGATACCGTGACAACATGTAGCACTTGTGTAGGATCGCGTGACAGTATGTACTACTGTGTAGGATACCGTGACAACATGTAGCACTTGTGTAGGATCGCGTGACAGTATGTACTACTGTGTAGGATACCGTGACAATATGTAGCACTTGTGTAGGATCGCGTGACAGTATGTACTACAGTGTAGGATACCGTGACAATATGTAGCACTTGTGTAGGATCGCGTGACAGTATGTACTACAGTGTAGGATACCGTGACAATATGAACCACTTGTGTAGGATCGCGTGACAACATGTAGCACTTGTGTAGGATCGCGTGACAGTATGTACTACTGTGTAGGATACCGTGACAACATGTAGCACTTGTGTAGGATCGCGTGACAGTATGTACTACTGTGTAGGATACCGTGACAATATGTAGCACTTGTGTAGGATCGCGTGACAGTATGTACTACAGTGTAGGATACCGTGACAATATGTAGCACTTGTGTAGGATCGCGTGACAGTATGTACTACAGTGTAGGATACCGTGACAATATGTAGCACTTGTGTAGGATCGCGCGACAGTATGTACTACAGTGTAGGATACCGTGACAATATGTAGCACTTGTGTAGGATCGCGTGACAGTATGTACTACTGTGTAGGATACCGTGACAATATGTACCTCGTATGTAGGATCGCGTGACAGTATGTACTACAGTGTAGGATACCGTGACAATATGTAGCACTTGTGTAGGATCGCGTGACAGAATGTACTACAGTGTAGGATACCGTGACAATATGTACCTCGTATGTAGGATCGCGTGACAGTATGTACTACAGTGTAGGATACCGTGACAATATGTAGCACTTGTGTAGGATCGCGTGACAATATGAACCACTTGTGTAGGATCGCGTGACAGTATGTACTACAGTGTAGGATACCGTGACAATATGTAGCACTTGTGTGAATCGCGTGACAATATGAACCACTTGTGTAGGATCGCGTGACAGTATGTACTACAGTGTAGGATACCGTGACAATATGTAGCACTTGTGTAGGATCGCGTGACAGTATGTACTACAGTGTAGGATACCGTGACAATATGTAGCACTTGTGTAGGATCGCGTGACAATATGAACCACTTGTGTAGGATCGCGTGACAGTATGTACTACAGTGTAGGATACCGTGACATTATGTAGCACTTGTGTGAATCGCGTGACAATATGAACCACTTGTGTAGGATCGCGTGACAGTATGTACTACAGTGTAGGATACCGTGACAATATGTACCTCGTATGTAGGATCGCGTGACAGTATGTACTACAGTGTAGGATACCGTGACAATATGTACCTCGTATGTAGGATCGCGTGACAGTATGTACTACTGTGTAGGATACTCGTGGTATAGTGGATGGAGTGTCTGCTCGGAGAGCGGGATGTAAGTGGTTCGCGTCATACCGTTGTTTAACGCTGCACTCAACAATATTCCAGCTTTATGACAGCGGTCTGTAATTGAGTCTGGACCAGACTATCCACTGATTGATATGATGAGTATCGATCCTCGCAGTTGGGATACGATGACATGCATCGACCAAGTCAGCGAGCCTGACCACACGATTCCGTTAGTCGCCTCTTACGTCAAGCATACTCGCCTTTTACGGCAAGCATTGGTTGCTGTAGACCTATTCTATCCCGGATCTTCACGGGTTGTAAGAATTGTGTGATGTCAACTAATAAATATGTTTGCAAAAAGGACCTGACATACAAATACAAACTTCCGAATCCCAATTCCATGGTATTGTTTTGACAGTTCAATAGCTACTTTTGTATGCGGACATACAGATAAGATGAACAGATTACTCTTGCTGTTATCTTCAGATTATTTCTAAATAAAGGCGTGACATCATTTATTATGTACGATTGCAAATACTGAGTTGGCCGGAAAGTTGACCGGAAGGGATTGCGACCAATTATTAAATACGATAATTGACTCAACTCAGTGCCTTGACTGTGAGTTTGAATGCAAACTGTATAAGAAGACACTAATTGGTCTGTTTACACTGTCATTTGTGATGTATTGTGTGACCATTCTGCATTCATTTGTGTTTTTTAAACTTATTGAGTAACTTGTGGTTCTGGTTGATGATTTCAACATTTGATGACGTGTTGCAATGAATAAAGAATGTATGTATTATTTATACTTATTTTTGCGTTTTTAATTTTTGCGATTGAGTCTCGTTCGCAAAACTCGCAATAATAAAACGGTCGCAAAAAATTCCCTGTTTACAGTAATACATATCTGGAAAACAGTAACGCGCTGCACTGAAAAAGTTAATCACAGTCGTGCTAATCGTAATCGTTGAAATAATTTTGGTACAGTTATGAATGCATAGCTAAGATAGGAATGTTTGCGACTCGTTAAAGCGCACTGTCGGGGATGCAAAATCCAAGTCCACTTAGAATTCATTTCTGAGCTGTTTTTATACTTGCTCAATTAATAGGTTAATGGTTAATGTAGAAATATCCTGCAAAGCTGCTGGTCGTCGTGGGCAACCCGTTACCACAACTTGGTCATTAGCAGATTCGCACAGAAAAGTTAAAAAAGAACTGAGGTAAAGGACCGTCCATGGTCTGGTCTGCCTTGTGTGACGTCGGCACGCGAAGATCACGACCCGCTCCGCTTGTTTAAGCGACAAGCCTTCGCCACAAGCACCTGTCTGAAGGAGAACTGGATGTCCCACAGAAAATACAATTATGAACTGATGCCATGTCAATCATGTCTAGAGATAAATAGAAGTATTTCTAAACATACGTCAACAACAACATAGCGAGACCAGGTTAATATTCAAAACCCATGGTAGGCTATGCTTGTCGTAAGAGGCGTCTTAGAGGATGGGGAGGTCACACTCGGTTACTTAGTTGATTGCGTGTCATCGTACCTCGACCGCGTGG